ATTTCTACAATTCCGGCTTTGTTTTATGACTAGACAGATGACAGATCCATAAATAAAGGCATGTGGATGCATTTTAATGTGTAATGTCCCGAGGGCGCCCCGGGGGAATAAATAACTAACGACCGCGACCATAGGTCCAACAAGCCAGATAAAGAAATTGAAAGAAAGTGTGCTAAATTCGATGCTCCGAGTGGGAATCGAACCCAGCTGGGATGTAGTAGCAACTTGCTATCAAGGATCGTTACAAATGCTTCTATAATTCATCATAAACTAAGATTTAATAGACTAAGATCTTTAAAATTGAACCCTTCAAAGACTGTATTATGCCCCACGTACGTGAATAGGTGGGTATGAGGTAGGAGGTTTTTTATACAAAGCCAGTTTTCACAAGCAATTTTATTCCCGGACGCCCAAACGTGTCAGGAACACATATATATTTGAATGATCTTGATTGGACATCAGGTTGCAGAGAAATCGTATTTTTACTGAGTGGATTATTGAATTTCATAGATCTAGAGGCCCTTCAGGAGTGGAAAACCTTAAATTATCAGAGATTAATGTTTCCAAACTGTTTTGAAACAAACTAACGTCTTGTTTTCAACCTACACCTTGCTCCTTTCTCGCGTATTTAATAAAACAAAAATAGTATATCACGGAGGGATACGAACCACTCACCTGGGACTTGGTTATTCACTAGCGCCATAGGCGTTCTACTATTCTGGATACAACTGACGAGTCGTATTTAAGTGAGGATCATTTTGAATTGACGCTCGGTATAAATATATAATACTTTTGTTCTTTCATATCGGTAGCTCGTTGGCCTCATGGTTAGCATGCCTGGCTTCCATTGTCTAGGTTAGTTGATCGAGACCCGTTCATGTCGAACTTTTTGATTTGCTTGTTGTCAAAATATAATAAGTAGGGCAAAATCCAGAAAAAGTAGATCAAAAATACTCCAATGGAGTATAAAATTGTCACCAGGATTCCGGAATGAGACGAATGTTAACTCGTGAAATCTCGGTAGATAATGTAGGTCAGAAAATCCGGATTAATCCGAACAAGGTTCGGGAATTTCCGTCATAAGAAGTAGGTCAAAAATACTCCAATGGAGTATAAAATTGTCACCAGGATTCCGAAATACGACGAATCGAATCGGCAAACTTCGGTACAATAATGAAGTGCATAAAAACCGAAATGATCCGAACAACGTGAAACAGGTGTCAGGGGCTTCCCCTCATCTTTCCATACATGGTTCTAAAAGCCTTATATGGATCTATCACGTGACATTCAAAATGACGTTCCTATATGGTTCTATGGGCCTTATATGGATCTTTCGAACACGTGACACGTTAATACCAAATCAAAATCAAAATTTTACCTTGACCATTGGATGGGAGTTCATAGAAAATATCAAAGAAAACATATCCTCGTGATCCTAAATCACTTAAATTCGATCATTTTATCTTCACCCCTTGATGGAATTTTATGAAAGAAGTTATGAAAACACATCATCATGTAAGGGTTTTCACTTAAATTAGCTCGTTTTATCTTGACCCTTCAATTGAATTTCATTGAAAAATGTTTAATGAAAAATATCATCATGTTATGATTTGTATTTAAATAAGACCGTTTCATCTAAATACTTGCTGGATAATATTTCATAAAAAATGCACTTTAAAAATATTTCAGGATTTGCCTTAATTTATCAATGTAATGTAAGTATTAGATTGACTCTCAAATAGGGTTCAATTTTAACTTTTTTTATTGAAATTAATACTAGGCAGGACTCACTCTCTAAAAAGCTAATAAAAATTCAACCCTTGGATAAAATATGACAAGTCCAGAATCAAATGATTTGTCCGGAACCTCTTAAGACCCTGTTAAATAATAATTTTACCATTATCCGAATTTTAGTGAACTGAATTGCAATAATTAAGAAAATTGAATAAAAAGAAAATGTTCAATTTTTTTTGGCTCACCCTGTATATATAGAAGAAGTAACATTTCGATGTTAGGATGTTAGACGTATAACTCAGAAAAACATCCCCATTGAGAAGGGTTACACATGGTACTTCAGTCTATAACTCGTATGAGAAAGTGAGAATTTTATTAATATGCACCAATCAATTTAAAATGACTTAGATAATATTGCCCTCTGGGATTTGCGTACTAGGTCTTTAAATAATTTATGCATGGACATAAGAAGAGGTCAACCGATATCACATTTCAAAAAATTAGTAAGAGATTACATGAGCCCTGTCTCTATGCTTCCAACTACCAAAATGGTTAACGAAATGCCTAGACATATTGAATGTGCTTTTAACAAATCCAGAGTATGTCTTCTTTTACAATCTCAGCTAAATGCACACAGTATATCACAAGTGTTTGCGTTCCACTTTGTAAATGTGGATAAACATAAACACCTTCCCATTTTATCTTAAAATGTCCTCTGGTTGTAAACTAGAGCTTCTAAAAATGAGTCATTTTGTGAAACAACGTTTGAGCCAAATTGATCAGATTGGCTGTTTTACATGCATGTGTTAACTCATCCCTGGCCCATGGAATTATAGTATACTATATGAGTTATACCATTGCTTTGATAAAGATCCAATTTACATGTATTCATATTCGTATTGACTAAAGTTGCAGCTAATGTTTTTATAAAATTTGTCAATCAATTGCTTGTGTTTATTATTGTTAACTAAAGGAATAAATGCATGTATAAAAACATGGTATTTATTAAAATCCTAGTGATAATATAACGCAGAAGCTTAGCAGTTCCATCTATAAGGGCTGTATAGTGTGTTTATTAGGATATTAGTAGAAGTATACATCCATTGTGTGTTTATTAGGATAATAGTAGTAGGATACCTCCAAAGAGTAACATTCCAATAGCCAAGGGCTGCACAGGTTGTTTCTTAAAACGGTGTTTATTAGAACGATATTTAAAGTAGGAGGAGTAACTCAGAAGAGTAACAGTCAATTGGACAAGGATTGCACGGGATGTTTACTAGGATATTAGTGGTAGTGTAACTCAGAGAAGTAATATTCCGATGTGAAAGGCTGCAGAGGGTGTTGTAGTAGTGTAACTCAGAGAAGTACTATTCCTTTGTATAAGGCTGCAGAGGGTGTTTATTAGGATATTAGTAGTAGTGTAACTCAGAGAAGTACTATTAAACTGGAAAGGGCTAAAGAGGGTGTTTATTGGGATATTAGTAGGAGTGTAACTCAGAGAAGTACTATTCCCATGGATAAGGCTGCAGAGGGTGTTTATTAGGATATAATCAGTAGGGCAGCTCAAAGAAGAAATATTCCGCTAACTCTGTAACTCAGAGAAGTAATATTCCAATAGAAAGGCTCGGTGTTTATTAGGTTGTTAGTAGTAGTGTAACTCAGAGAAGTACTATTCCAATGAATAAGGCTGCAGAGGGTGTTAATTAGGATATTAGTAGTAGTGTAACGTAGAGAACTACCATTCCAATGGATAAGCTGCAGAGGGTGTTTATTAGGATATTAGTAGTAGTGTAACCCAGAGATTGAAATAATATTCCGATGGAAAGGGCTACAGAAGGTGTTTATTAGGATATTAGTGGTAGTGTAACTCAGAGAAGTAATATTCCGATGTGAAAGGCTGCAGAGGGTGTTTATTAGGATACTAGTAGTAGTGTCACTCAGAGAAGTACTATTAAACTGGAAAGGGCTAAAGAGGGTGTTTATTGGGATATTTGTAGGAGTGTAACTCAGAGAAGTACTATTCCTATGGATAAGGCTGCAGAGGGTGTTTATTAGGATACTAGTAGTAGTGTAACTCAGAGAAGTACTATTAAACTGGAAAGGGCTAAAGAGGGTGTTTATTGGGATATTTGTAGGAGTGTAACTCAGAGAAGTACTATTCCTATGGATAAGGCTGCAGAGGGTGTTTATTAGGATATTAGCAGAAGGGCAGCTCAAAGAAGAAATATTCTGCTAACTCTGCAACTCAGAGAAGTAATATTCCAATAGAAAGGCTTGGTGTTTATTAGGTTGTTAGTAGTAGTGTAACTCAGAGAAGTACTATTCCAATGAATAAGGCTGCAGAGGGTGTTAATTAGGATATTAGTAGTAGTGTAACGTAGAGAAGTACCATTCCAATGGATAAGGCTGCAGAGGGTGTTTATTAGGATATTAGTAGTAGTGTAATTCAGAGAAGTACTATTAAACTGGAAAGGGCTACAGAGGGTGTTTATAAGGATATTACTAGTCGTGTAACTCAGAGAAATACTATTAGTAGTAGTGTAACTTAGATAAGTACTATTAAACTGGAAAGGGCTACAGAGGGTGTTTATTGGGATATTAGTAGGAGTGTAACCAAGAGAAGTACTATTCCTATGGATAAGGCTGCAGAGGGTGTTTATTAGGATATTAGTAGTAGTGTAACCCAGAGAAGTAATATTCCGATGGAAAGGGCTACAGAGGGTGTTTGTTAGGATACCTAAAGTAGTGTAACTCAGAGAAGTACCATTCCAATAGAAAAGGCTGCAGAGGGTGTCAATTACGATTTTTTAGTAGTGCAACTCAAAGAAATAATATTCCAATGGCAAAATGCTGCAGAGGGTATTTATCAGGATATCAGTAGTAGTGTAGCTCAGAATCTGATACAAGTGCACCTTATCTTGATCTTCTTATAAACATTGAATTTTGATATTGTTAATTTCCCACATTTGGATAGCAATATTCCACTTACCCAAACATATGGGGTTTATGTATCCCAGCTTATTAGATAGAGCAGGGCGTGTTCAAAATATCTAGATTTCAAATCAAGACACCATATATTAGTGATCAAGCTGTTAGGCCAAGGTTATACATGTAAAACACTTAAGAAATCCTTTCTGGCCTTTGCTGAAAAGTCATTAATTTCGAAATTTCAAGTCTACCACTTGAGAGGTATGTAATTCCGATGTTGGTTTAATAAATATACGCAGTCGCTCATTTCAAAAGAACATCAAAACTTACATTTCCAGACCAGAGTCAGGCAGCAGTTATTAAAGATGCTATGAAGATGTGGAGCGACAATACATGCATGAGATTCAGACAGCAAAGTAGTGTTGGAGCCCCAACACCCTTGTTTCATTACAATGTCAATGCAGGCAAAGGGTGAGTGGGAATTGGTTATAGCTAATATCGCCATTGGTAAATGATAATAACAGATCAAAACATCAAATTTCTTACATGTGTACTTATTGTCAAGTTAATCACAGCTAACGGACAGAAAAAGTAAACCACACTGGCGACATTTACAATTATAATTTTGTATATGGGTCACACCAAGTTAATTCGAATAAAATAAAAATTAACATGATCAATGAAGGCATCGTCAAAGCTAATATGTATCGTTTTCAAACACTGTACAATGTGTGTCACTTTAGGTGCTCTGCGAATGTTGGAAGATGGGACTCGGGGCCAAATGAAATATCCCTTGATGAAGCATGTTTATTGGTGTGTATAATGTGGAGGTGGCGTAAACTTGAATGTCAATGCCACATTGATGACGTTTACATTGACATCAATGTGGCCTAGATGTTGTTTGCACGAATACCAATGTCATATAGAGATACTACCAAAGCAATCAATGTCACATAAATGATCTTATCACAGAGACCAATATTACATAAGTGATGTTAACATCGAGATCAATGTTACACAGGTCTAGTTGGTGGACCAATTGAAGTGAAATTAGTCAGATTAATGCTATACAGCGGATGTTAACATCGTTTCACTAATATGATGCTGCTATCAAGATAATTTGAACATATGTGATCCTTACAGGTAGATCAATTTGAACATACATGTATTTCAAATAATATGTTAGCGTGTGGATAATCCAATATACAGGTAATCAATATACAATCTACAGGTTATCAATATACAGGCTTAACAATGCTATTTTACAATCATATACAACACTTTAGGTGGGGTAAGAACAGATCCGTTACCTAATGTACCTGAAGGTGCCCCCAAATCAAATATTTCATCGAAAATAATATGGAAATAGTATCTTTTATCAATTATGAATACCTCAAAAATAAAATTAGGTCATTTGGATTAAAACTAATAGTCCGGAAGAAATATGGGGTATTTTGAGGATCAATCGTTTTCTTCGGATTACAATGTTTTTTAAACTTTTCAGCATGAATATAGGGTTGGGACCTCAAAACCACGGAATGCCGGAGCGGCACCCTTGGGCAACTCTCTATGGAGCATTTCTCATACACCCCTAATAAAGTCTACAGGGGGTACTATAAGACGCCGTTATATCTCAGACACTAATAATGATATTGACTTGAAATTTCCAGGAAGTATTCATGGTATGATAATTGATCCGTATGACAAAAATTAAGAAAAAATATATATCTGTTGCTATAGCAACAGTAATAGAACACTATTTCTTACCTTAAAAATGCATTATTTTGTGTGATTTCATAATTGTCTTCATATTCTTGATTCTTAAAATATCTGAAGCACATAATATCACCCTTGGTATACGCAGCTAACGAAAATTGACTGGTACGGGTCAAAAGCTGGACCGGTACGGGTTAACGGTTTTATTTGAATTTAAAACAGCCATAACTTGCTCAATATTCACTTCCTCGTGTCTAATTTGAGATATATGATGCCTCTCGATGCTTTTAAGTACCCCCATTTTTGTGGTGTGATAGCTATATTTTTGCTAACTCGTTCATAAGCAGTGTTAAATACGTTCTTAATCAGTTTAAACCCGTTTGCAATTAGTTCTACCTCGTTCTCAACACGTCCTCAGACAGTTCAACTCGTTGTTAAAACGTCCCTAGTAGGAGTGAAGTACGACGGTTCTGTTCGTAGTACGTCCAGCTCGTCGTTAGTACGTTGTCACTCGTTCTAATTGTAGAACGTGACGACCACGAGAACATTTTGAGCATTGTCTAAGTTCTAGAGGACCTACCCGTTCGAGTACGTTCGATGAAGTTGGTAAATAGATCCCAAACGGTTCTTAGTAGGTCCAGTCCGTTCGTACACAGTTGAAGCCCGTTTTCGAGAACGTAGTGAGAACTAGTTTGGTGTGATAGAAGGGTTAAGAAAGTTAAATGTAAGAACCTGATTATCAAGTGATGTTGCCATAGCAACTGAAATGTTAGACATATTACACAAATGATATGATGAATTATTTTATCTTCACTTTTAATCATATTCACCCTTGGTATACGCAGCTAACGAAAATTGACCGGTACGGGTCAATAGCTTGACCGGTACGGGTTAACGGTTTTATTTGAATTTAAAACACCCATAACTTGCTCAATATTGACTTCCTCGTGTCTAATTTGAAATATATGATGCCTCCCGATGCTTTTAAGTACCCCAATTTTTTACAGATTTTTAAACGGACCAAAACTCTCTAAATGCGCATTTATGCTCTTTTCTCTCGAGAACGACTGTCTCATTTTCACGATAACTTTTATTTAGTACTTCTAACATATAAGATCTATTGTTCCCATTCAAGGTATGATGTAAATGACATGCTATTTACATCTTGTGAGTTTCAATGACGCGCGTTTGATTTTATAAAAAATGCCAAACTTTGTGACAAAGAATTTCATCCTGCTTGCAGCGAGAAGAAGTACTAAAAATTGGGGTACTTAAATGCATCGGGAGGCATCATATATTTCAAATTAGACACGAGGAAGTCAATATTGAGCAAGTTATGGGTATTTTAAATTCAAATAAAACCGTTAACCCGTACCGGTCAAGCTTTTGACCCGTACCGGTCAATTTTCGTTAGCTGCGTATACCAAGGGTGAATATGATTAAAAGTGAAGATAAAATAATTCATCATATCATTTGTGTAATATGTCTAACATTTCAGTTGCTATGGCAACATCACTTGATAATCAGGTTCTTACATTTGACTTTATTAACCCTTCTATCACACCAAACTAGTTCTCACTACGTTCTCGAAAACGGGCTTCAACTGTGTACGAACGGACTGGACCTACTAAGAACCGTTTGGGATCTATTTACCAACTTCATCGAACGTACTCGAACGGGTAGGTTCTCTAGAACTTAGACAATGCTCAAAATGTTCTCGTGGTCGTCACGTTCTACAATTAGAACGAGTGACAACGTACTAACGACGAGCTGGACGTACTACGAACAGAACCGTCGTACTTCAATCCTTCTAGGGACGTTTTAACAACGAGTTGAACTGTCTGAGGACGTGTTGAGAACGAGGTAGAACTAATTGCAAACGGGTTTAAACTGATTAAGAACGTATTTAACACTGCTTATGAACGAGTTAGCAAAAATATAGCTATCACACCAAACAAGTTGCCACTGCGTTCTTCAAAACTGGTTTTAAACTGTGTGCGAATGGAATGAACGTAGCTGCAACTTTCTAAGGTCTATTTACGAACTTAATGAACTTTCTCAGACGGGAATGAGATTTTAGAATTTTGAATCGATTCAAATTCGATGGTGACCATACCGTTCTGTAATCAGGTCATGTTGACCTTCTGGACTAAGGGACGCGTTCTACGACGTTGCACACCGACGTGGTGCGACCTGAACGAACTGCGAACGAGATGGACGTATTGAAGACTGTTTAAGAACGAAGAAGCTAATTATTTCAGACATATTTCCCGACCACAGCCAGATTGAGCCCGTTTTACGACATTTTCGTAGGACTGGCAAGAACGGGTAAGAACTAGCTTGGTGTGATAGGGGGGTTAATGAGTATAAAGGTGGTCAAAGATAATACTTTTAGAACATTATGTACTTAAAGATGAAACCATGTTTCTTCTGAAGTAAAAAGTCAAATAAAATTCTACAACGTTATCTTACTCCCTTACCAAAGCCCCCAAAGTTTAACAATTTGGGGAAAACAGGCAAAAAACATTCAATTCCTAGGTTCAAATTAGTAATGCATTGGGGTTCAACATCAATTAGTTTCCAAAAAACATCTACTGACTTTGCTTGATATTACAATATGAAGATTTCAATTATTTGACACTCGAAAGTATTTATAATTTAGAACACTAGCCCATAAAATGTTAAAATATGGTTGTGGTCAATTTTATCATTTAGCAGCATTCATTAGACAAAAGATCAATGCATTTAAAACATATTCATTGTAATTCATTCATTACCATAATCTAGTATATGTATAAGAGACTGCACTTTTTTATATTTAAGTTTTATATCTAGTACATGTATCATAATGAAGTCTAATGTTATCATACCGTAGAGAGGTTGGCATAGTCTAGACATTGGCATAATGTCTAATTATTACAACCATTAGTTTTTCTCATCTGAGCAATGAGACTATGATCTTTATCATGAATGAACATAGTTCTATATAATATGTAAGTTTTATATCTAGTATATGTATCATAATGAAGTCTAATGTTATCATACCGTAGAGAGGTTGGCAGAGTCTAGACATTGGCATAATGTCTAATTATTACAACCATTACTTTTTCTTATCTGAGCAATGAGACTATGATGGTTATCATGAGTGAATATAGTTCTATATAATATGTAAGTTTTATATCTAGTATATGTATCATAATGACATTTAATGTTATCATACAGTAGAGAGGTTGGCATAGTTTAGTGATTGGCATAGTGCCTAATTATTACAACCTTTGTTTTTTCTCATCTGAGCAATCAGACTTTGATGGTTATCATGAATGAGTACAATTCTGTATGTATATTTTATATAGGTATAGTACATGTATCATAATGAAATCTAATGTAATCTTACAATAGAGGTTGGCATCGTCTAGACATTGGCATAATGTATAAATAGTATAAGCATTAATTTTCCTCATCTGAGCAATCAGGCTATGGTTGTTATCTTGCACAAGTACAATTCTATATGTAAGTTTAATATTTAGTACATGTATCATAATGACATATAATGAAGTGTAACCATATAATAGAGAGGTTGGCTTAATCTGGATATTGGTATAAAGTCAACACATATAAGCGTATCATCTCATTAGTCAGGTGTTGGTGGTCATCATGCACAATTGTATCTTGATGTGTTGGGTCAGTCATTTTGGCCGCCAATGTGCAAATCATGGCAAACGTTTCTGTTATATAAAACACTTACAGGTAGTTCTCATCATCTTAACAAATAGTAGATCTAGAGTCCTTGTTAAGTTATGAGGCGTCAGAGCCAGGTGTTTGAAAACTAGCTAAAAATATTAATGTCAATCACTAAAGATGATGTCTTCAAATTTTCAAGACTCCTTACAGGCAGTTACAGCCAGGCTGTTCAGCTGGGTCATCCAAAACGAGCAAAAAGCTCTTAGTTCTCATCATGTGACTATATACGTAGAATCCTTATAAAACCATGAAGCATTAGAGCCAGATGTTGGAAAGTAGCTAGCTAGTGTGAGTGAGTGTGCTCGTGTAAGGAGGCATCTTTGAATGAGTGAGTGTGCTCGTATAAGGTGGCATCTTTGGATGAGTGAGTGTGCTCGTGTGAGGTGGCATCTTTGGGTGAGTGAGTGTGCTTGTGTAAGGTGGCCTCTTTTGGTGAATAAGTGTGCTCGTGTAAGGTGGCATCTTTGGATGAGTGAGTGTGCTTGTGTAAGGTGGCATCTTTGGGTGAGTGAGTGTTCGTGTAAGGTGGCATCTTTGGGTGAGCGAGTGTGCTCGTGTGAGGTGGCATCTTTGGGTGAGTGAGTGTGCTCGTGTAAGGTGGCATCTTTGGGTGCGTGAGTGTGCTCATATGAGGTGGCATCTTTGGGTGAGCGAGTGTGCTTGTGTGAGGTTGCATCTTTGGTATATTGTATGTTGAGTAAGTGGTTTCTGGAGTTAGTCGCAAGTTGACGATCTAACCACGAATGTTGAGAACCAAATGTTGGTGACAACTGTTCACACGTCACACTTGCAGCTGTGAGCAATGGCAAACCTGGTCAGACTTAATGCATGTTGCTGCTTGGTTGACAAATGGAAAGCCATCTTTAGCTGTTTTCAATAATAAACATTTTAGCTAGTTTTCAAAACCCTGGCTCTAAATTGTAAATGATTCTGCTGAATGGGTTGTAAAGGATTCCAATGTCTGGTTTGTATGCAAACCTTGCTAGTCTCCACTGTATGATTGCATTGGATTTCAGACTTGTACTAAATACAAGATTAACATATAAAATATATACTTAACATTTGAAGATGTTTTAATGCCTTGGTTTGTATAAATTTCTAACTTTAAATGCTGCGAAATGGTAAAATTGAGCACACCCTCTTTTCAACATTTTTTTGGGATAGGATTCTAAAATGTTTCAAATAAAATACTTCTCATCATCTAATAATTAAATCTTCATATTGTTATATCAGACAAAGTCAGTAGATGTTCCTTGAATACTAACAAGTGTTGCATCCCAATGCACTTTTAATTTGAACCCAGAAAATGAAGTTTTTTTGCCAGTTTTCACCAATCATCACATTTTTGGGGCTGTGGGAGGGGTTCTACAACTCAAAGATATACATTTTTAACAAATTCAAGTGACGACTATTTACTTCTAAAAGAGCTTCTTTACCCAGAGAACATACCTTTAGAAAAAGTGTTATTTTGGACCACCTTTATACTCATTAAAGAAAGTGAAATGCAAGAGACTGATTATCAAGTGATGTTGCCACAGCAACTGAATTGTTAGACATATTACATATATGATATGATGAATTATTTTATCTTCATCTCTAATCATGCTATGTGCTTCAGATAGTTTAAGATAGTTTAAGAATCAAGAAAATGCTGAAAACCCACAAAATAATACATTTCTAAGGTAACTAATAGTGATCTATTACTGTTGCTAGTGGTGTCAATTAACTGCTTGAGCATTAACCGGTTAACCGGGTGTTTTTACCGGTTAAAGTCGGTTAACCGGCGGGAAATTTGAACTGATAATTTCAAATGAAATCTTCATCTTCGATCTTGAAAGTTGAAAAAATTGGAAAAATGATATATTGGCGTTTATTTTTTACGTTCGTCAAGCTTTACTCGATTCTATTCATACACTACCTGACTACCGGTACCTCTAAATTACTTATCACACTGTTTTACCCTTGGAATCTCCACGAACGCACCATAACAACGAGAATTGCAGCTGATTAGTGTTTATTTTGATTTTAATTTTCTCACTACCAAAGCGAGGCTTTGACATTTTGGCGACGTTGATAGACAACAATAATAACAAAACGGACGAATTAAAAAATGCATATAATTTATTTATGAAATTGTTTTGCAATATGTAAAATCATTAAATAGAATAAATGTCTAAAACTTAGGGATTATACATGTATATGCTGATTGGATGTTTACATGTTTGGGAATTATCTAGCCTATAAGTTGAGTACACATGGCTGACACTTGAGAAACAAACAGATTAACATGCAAAGTAAGCGCGGGAAAGCAATGTGGCAGGGATTAAAGTTGCTGCTTGGATGTTTGTAAGGAGTTATCGGACCTATCACATGTATAAGTAGCTCATATGAAACTGACGCTTGGAAAACAAACAGATTAACATGCAAAGTAAGCGCGGAAAGCAATGTGGCAGGGATTAAAGTTGCTAATTGGATGTTTGTAAGGAGTTATTGAACTTATGACATGTATGAGTAGCTTACGTGAAACTGACACTTTAAAACCAAACAGATTAGCATGCAATATAAGCGCGGGAAATAACAGAATTATACACGGTCAACTAACCACCCATAAAAACACAGACCGGTCAAGGCATTATCGGCGGTTAACCGGTTAACCGGTTAATACTTGACACCTCTAGCTGTTGCTATAGCAACGGATTAAGATTTTTTCTTGATTTCCATCATACAGATTAAGCTTCATACTTAAACTAATTCCTGAAAATTTCAAGTCTATATCGTTATTAGTGTCTGATATATAAAGGTGTCTTATAGTACCCCCAGTAGATTTTCTTAGGGGGGTATAAGAAATGGTTTGTAGAGAGTTGCCCAAGGGTGCCGCTCCGGCATTCCGTGGTTTTGAGGTCCCAACCCTATATTCATGCTGAAAAATTAAAAAAACCATTGTAATCATTCAGTGCATTTAAGTTTGACTATGCAAATCATTCTATAAATCATTTTAGGGGTATGTTAGTCTACATTCAAGATCATTTTAAGTATCTTGACCATTCTTCGACGGATAAATCAAAACATCTAGCCGAAACACATTTTTTCGATTATCAGGGTCATTGCTTTCATATCACATGTTCTAATAGTATACCCCATTAACAGATATTTGAAAAACACATTTTAAGTTACATGTGATTGAATTGTTTTCATTGATTGAATTGTTGTCTAGCAATGATATAATAAAACAAATATTTCATTCTATATTCGGGCAATACCTGTTGCACTTTCAATGATTTTTGCAGCATGTATTGCCCGCAGCCCGGGCAATACATGCTGCAAAAACCATTGAAAGATGAACATGTATTGCCCTCCATAGAATGAAATATTTGCTTAGTATTACTCCTCTCTCTTATAATTAATTATTCTTTTATTTAGACATTTTGTCAGTGTACCGTATTACCTACAGAGTGATCACTTTTGAATGCAGCAATATATATAAATTATTTAAATTTATTTATTTCTAAATATATGACTTGACTTTTGGATATACGGAATAGCTATTTATGCCTATTAGATTATGTCTAAATCCATCTTCAACTTTGTGTCATTCACCATGCATATCGTAACACTATTTTAGATTGGTACTGTGGCCCATGAAATTGGTCATGCATTGGGCTTATGGCATGAACAGGCGCGTCCAGATAGGGACTCATATGTTGACGTTTTTGTTGACAATGTGAATGACCAAAACAGAGCAAACTATGCCAAGATGATGATGTACCAGTCAAAGAATCACGGTGTGAAATATGACTTAGGATCGTTGATGCATTATGGCAAACAGGTATCTTAAAACTCTTAAGATGATGCCACATTGTTTCAAATTTTCAAACGTTAATAAAATATTATAATCCTTCAGTATTTAAACACTGACAGTAAGAACGTGAATAACTCCTTTCGCATTCTGTGTACTTAATGCCACATTTTTTCACATCATACTTACTTGATTTTGGCCAGAAGGTAGATGGGTGTTTATTTGAGGGTGTATAGGTAGGTTATCGCAAATTAATATCAGAGAGCTATTTCATGGATTACGATTATTTTCTGACCATGAGACATGTCTATCTTTTAGATCTATTCATTATCTCAAAGAAAATTATGTACGTCAATAATTACAAAGTCAAACGGACTCTGATATATTTAATTAGCAATCAAGCCATCAACACACTTTTTGAACTTGTTGCCCTCATTTCCACCAAAAGTGCAATCATTTTTACAATGTTTAATACATTACAATTCTTTAATTTGATGTATGAAAAACTGAATTCCTCTAAGATTAGTTTCCCCCATGTTATTTCTTCATTGAAAAACCAGTAACAGCCCGTATTTCCTTTTAGAAAATAGAATATGTCTCAAATCGCTTTCTAATTATGCATTCAACAATACAGTAAAGTGTTGCATTTTTTGTAAAAAGTATGTCAACATTTTTAAAACAGTATGTAGATTGCTCCATTGCCCATTTAATATCACTTTGGTCTGGTGAACAAGATCATAATTTTATATACTTCACTTGGAGATAATGAACGGATCTTGAAGATACAGCATGTCCATTGTCAGAAAATATTCTATATTCAAGTTAGGATCGTCTGCAATTGTTTGCGATAACCTCCTTGCCCTATTCCATATCCACGAGTGTCCCTTTGGATCCCTTTAATTTTAATGTAGATTCATAGGAGGATTTCGATGTAATAACATTGCTAAAACAGCCTTCATGTACAAAGTGAGTTATATCGTCATGGAAATGAACAAGGAGGAATTCGATTTTGAGATATAAAAACGACTAACTTGGTAAGCATTATGATATATGAACATTCGTTGTGTAATGGCCTGATTATCGTTCGACTTTACTCACCATTTTAAAGTACACAGTATTTGGTATATTTTCAATGTATCAACCTTACTTCGGTCCAAAGCCTTCTCTATATTCCGGCTTTGAGTAGAAAGATTTGGCTGCCTTGGTATTGTAGGTATTGTAAATCATTATGTCACACGCACAGTAAATATGGCATGATAATATGAAATATACCCCTATGTATAGATTATAGATAGTCTGAATCTATTGTTATATTTGATTTCTTTAAGCGAGAATATTTTCCTCCATTTATTCACGTCCGGAAACGGAAGCCATTTTTTAGCTACAGTGAGAAAATTTCACCATGTGTCAAACTCCGAAAAGAAATTTTGAAATATCAAAATCCAGACAACGAATGCGTCATCCTAAATATAATTAATATTCTTAAAAATATTTATGAAATTTATTAAATATGAAGTTACGTCTACTCGAGACTCGAGTTATATCAACCAATCACTGATTTGTTTTTAAAAATAAATGCAAATTGTCTACATGCTTATCCTTATACTTACATCCTAATGTGTACAGGGAGAGGGATGCCGACCCTCCGGATTTTTCACCGGTACTTTTCTGTCAAGAAAAACTATTTACTTCCACTTGGATATAGACCATATAGCATACTAAATATAAATACCCTTTCAAATAAGTCATATTACAAGGTAATTGACTTAGCTACGAAGTTTTCAATATTATACTGTGGTCCGCGATTTGCGCTTCGATCCAAATCATTTGAGTAAAAAGCGTAATATGTTGTTTTTGCCTGAAAACATATTAAAATACGCGAAAAAAACTCACCCCTGCGTTAGTTTGACCTACGTTTGCCCCCATATTGACCTATTTGTTTGAGATTTTAATACTCCAACTCGAGAGTTTTGAATTAAGAAATATAGAGCAAAGAGCAGGGCTACTAGTTTCGAATACACCCCACAGGTCTAGGCACAAACGTTTTCGGTACCCCGAACGAAGAAGGAGTGTATTCGAAACTATATCTAGTAGCCCTGCTCTGAGGTCTTTATTACGATTCGAACATGAAAACTCGTCAATTTCGATGTTCATTTCCACTTTTTTCATTTATACTTCCGGTTGAGCGTTTGGCTGTTCCAATTAGTTTACTTACCTCCTGACCCCAACTTCTTTATTGACATTTCGGCCTATTTTATTGGTTTCACGCAAATCTACTACATTGGTACTTATTGTCATTAATTATCACAGCGGGTATCCATATAAAAATTTAATTTTGCGAAAAGAACGGACCATTGAGTGCACTGAATGAAACACTAGTACAGCGCTTGGGCATTGATCTCGAATTAACCCCTTTATAAAGTTTTATATGCAAGATTGGTCTGATCTGACAATCTGAAATCAAATTAAATGTGCTCTCTTTAATGTGAGAGATCTCCGATATCCTTTAGTTATACGGGTTGAATATATCCTAGTATCAAGGTAATAGTCCATGGTATGAAATCTCTAGGACGTCTAATAAAGGAGCTGGTTGCACACTATAGTGCAGTGATATTTGACCTTATATTAACATACCTACATATTTTCCCTAATTATTCTTATTATTACCGTTTAATATACTTCCGGCTTTTAGGCTGAATTATGCCTGCCATTAACAGAGGTCAAAAAATTACCAAAAAATAAAATCAACATTTTCACAATTTGGAGTACACAATGAAACAGAAAATAATACAAAATGATTTTAAATATATGATTCAGGTTTCTAAGCTATAAGTTTGATATTATTTTTCTTATCAATACCCCAAAATATGTAATCAGTGTATCAACGTTTTGTATTGTTCCTCAGGTATTGATAAGATAAATGCTACAAATGAATCACTTTTATATAAGAATGACAAATGCTTAAATTATGCTAGTTTTTGCAAACTGGGTCTCAATATGTTTTGAGATATGGACTTGTATAAGTGGTGAACATTATCAATAAAGGAGGGCCTATTGTTCTTCCTTGACTTATTGGGACCACAGCTACAATTATATTTCCCGTAGATAGATATAGCTCTGTTGCTTATAAAACAACTATTAGGACTTAGTCGAATTCATGAATAATTGAGAAAAATCGTTATCGTTATCCTCCTAAAATTTGATAGTACCCAGCGGTAAGGTAAAAGAAGAAACAGCCATCAGAAAACTTGATGATAGCCAGCAGTAACGTCGAGGAAGAATTGTAAGGCGTTCGATTGCATATGACTCTAATTGATTATTAGACATGCCCTTGGAATATATGAACATTCCAATACCTCTGTAACATTTAATTAGATATAAACCTTACCTATTTGTTATTGTATTATGTTTTATAAATAATTTGTTGTTTGACCCCGTGCAATTATATGGCAAAATTCTGGTAATAAAATGCTTTAAATTGTAAGAAAACTAATATGTTCCCAATCATAAATCACCTTAATATTCCTCACAATGTTGTTGAATCTACTTGGCTCATATTCGAAAAATCAAACAAAACCTGAAAAACAAACTTGCGTAATTACTAATTAAACACAGACATCTACAGTTAAATTATTGTATATATTTACATAATAATAATTTATTTTTTGTTCGTATGCTTAGAATAACGGTCTGTGTCTTGTAAAATGTATAAAAGTTCGAATCAAAATAATTAAGTTTTTGACCCCTTGTGATAATAGACATTTTTCGACCAGAAAGCCGGAAGTTTTTTCAGCAAATGGTATTTTAAAAGAATCAAGACATATGCACCTCCATAAACATTGCTTCAAATGCTGCTGCGCTAGTGTGTGCTACGGATCCTTCAGATTCGGAAGTCATACCGTGGTCAGTGTTCTTCAGATGATATGAAATATGTTTTGCTAAAATTGCCTTAAATTCGGGCAATATTACTTTAAGACCCATGGAGGTAATTTTCAAGCACTCTCAAATAAACACCCATGTCTCATATGTGTACAAGTGCTCAATTATACAATACATACTACATATATAAGGTAGGCGTACAAAATGGGCCATACGTTGATAATGCATGGTTCCATAACCCTTTGTTTAAACCTTTTCAAAATTCTAACATTTAAATTGAATAATGTTGTAAATAGACGGACTCATTTTCAAAGTCAAGAAACTATTCTGCCAGAAGTTTTTGCTTAATCAAAATGTTATCCTCTGAAGTGGACAAGGAATTGTTAGCAACTCGCGCCAATGAAACGGTTTGGAAAGCGGGAAAGTGCAAAAATCTAGAGTAAAACCGGATTAAGTTCAGTAGAAAAAAAGTCGGGCAGTGAACGACACAAAATAATTTTCTCCAAATAACTTGAATTTAAATCGCACAAGCGATTTTTTAGCAATTAAGACGTTTTTAGCAATTAAGGAGTGAAACTGTTTGAGAAAAATCGAAAAACACGATGCAGAACATTCATGTTTTATTTTCGAATGAGAATGTGAAGAAAATTGGCTTCACGGATGAAAATACTTTCCATTTGGGATTCAAATCACGCGTTTTTAAGCATGTTTTGATTTTGGTCCCATGAACAGAGATCTCACAATGAAAATTGAATTTAGGCTGTACATTATTGATATAAGTGTGCATATTTTTAGAAGTGGGCGTAAGAAGGTTTTGGAAATATCGACTGTCAAAATATTACCCACCCGGCAATTACATGTTTCTGAAAAATGTGACAACTAGCATTTTACCAACTTTGTACTATATACAGAACGAACATTTTGTTTTAGTTTTTCAGCATAAGTTCAAAAGATGCCATTCTTCCAAAAGATCCAAGAATGAATAATGTCCTTGGTCAGCGGGCACGTCCTTCAGAAGGGGACTTTATGGCCATAAACATGGCATTTTGTTCCAAAGCATGTACTCCTTATAGTAGTTTATATTGGAGTAAATGCCTGCATGGGGGATACAGGGATCCCAATAAGTGTGGCCAGTGTAGATGTTTAGATGGATTTGGGGGAAAATATTGCGAAGAACCAGCAAGCTATAAAATAGGTAACAACAAGCACTTAAATAATTTGGACTGAAATAAATATTTTACTGTTGTATGATTAATGAATAAATCAAGGCATACTTTCTACTTAAAATCATCTAATAAGGGACTAAATAGTAAAGGTCCAAATAAAAACGTCAAAATGCACTTAAATCATTATATGTTGAACGGCCCAAGGGTATAGGCTAGTTCTTAATGTTTACCTCTCAGCAATATCTAAAACTATTGTATCCTGGTGATTCATAGTCAGCACCATCTATCAAATATCTAAGAGATATATCTAATACAATGCCAAAGGGGGAGTGCAATGACATGTAAACAAACCAGCGATAAAATATACCCTATTTATCTGGAAACCAAAATCTAACGTGAAAAGAAATAATCCTCACATTCCCTTTTCCATTCAAATCGAGAGCCAATATCACAATCAAGGATCATAAAATCAAGGAAGATTTAACTGTAATGAAATCATGGTATGTTGGTAAAAAAAGAAAAATTGCGGCTTTGATGATCTGAAAAAATATTTTTATTTAACTTTAATTTCCTTGTAATCAGACAAAACATATCTAAGATTCTTGGCGATCTATAAATAAATATGACGCCATGTCATTGAACGGCGACTTGGCCCAAAAAGTAAACTATTTTTGTGTTAAGCCCGTTGCTTGAAAATGAACTCAAGTTAAAACATAAGGTGAAATAGTCACCAATTCGATGATTATGTCCAAATAAAGAACAAGTCAATGCACTTTCAGTCAAATAATTTAATATATATTATGAACGATAGTGATCGCTGTGTGGTTATTACCCGAAATTCTAGTCATAGATGGAGGCATACTATTATCTTGAAACCTTGGACATAATTATTTGATACTTGATTGCAAGTATGTAAATGTTTTACATTTTGCAGTGCATGCATCAGCTCACACAAATGCAGAGGTTATACATGTCATACTTCTTTTCATATTGGACATGAATTTTCCCAGATAAATGTAGTGTTTTCACTTTATGTACTTGTCTTTAATATTTGAAATGTATTTACTCAGATGGATGCAAAGATTTTAACTTCGGTACTCGCTAACATACTTGCAATGTAACAATTCAGATAAGTGCGGAGGGGAATTAACTGCAACTATACAAGTTCAGACACAAGAATCACCTGGTTATGGTGGAAAAGGATATGAACCCTACCAAGAATGCACCTGGTGGATTAAGGTTAGTTAGAACACAATAAAAAATATTAGACTGGCTGAAAACTGATGTCGAGTCTTATGAGTCTGTAGCACACACTGTGGCGTAACAAGGAGGGAAAGCGCGACGAGGCAGGAAATATAGTTATATTATAAACATTTACCTATATCAAGATTTCAAAATGGTGACCACATAACTTTCCAAAACAAATCAGGAAGATTGGAGTTGTTCACAATAAATTTAAAAAAAGATTAAATAAAAAATAATTGTATTAAAAAATTAAAAGAACATCTAGATTATTGAACGGTTCAATATACCAGGAGTTTTTAACAAAACATCGGGGTATCTCAGTAAAAAAAGCCGAAAATATGAACAAATGATTAGAAAATGATATGATAAAAATTAAATCAGTCAATTTTTGAATCGGTCAGAAATACGAACCTAAATTTTTCGCCGGAAATGTTAGCGTAAAGTAATATTTGCAAAACAAAAGAAACATACAAACAAAGATAATGACCATTGAAGACTATTAAGGCTATATTTCAATCGGTCTTCTCAAAACGCACAATTATTATTAAATGTAATTAAATCTGGTCTAATTATTTTGGACTTCTTATTCCGATATAAATATTTGTCTCTGTATATTTGCTATTGAAAAAATATTAGTTGAAATGGTAAATTATTTGATAGACTGTCATAAAGTTTATTTCTTGTGCGAGAGGCGCAGTTTAAATGTATATAGAATCAAGAAAGCAACAACCAAATATTTCTTTATTTTAGGCTCCCGAAGATCACCTGGTTGAGGTTAGGCTAATCGAGTACTTTGTTCTGCCATGCTTCCGAGACGAGTGTGTATTTGACTGGGTTGAGCTTAGAATGGACTCAATAGAGGAGCTAGGACAAAGGTTTATTAACATAGAAATATATAGCATTGTTTAAAGATTAACAATTTGTTTCATCATATAAATATGTTTATACATAATAGCTTGCCAATCGCCTTACTAGAATTAAAGGCTAAGCTGAACAACATATTAAGTACAATTTGGTTATCAGTTTCAGAAGGATTCGTAGTACTAAATCGGAAATAAATTGAAGAATCATATGCATATATAAAACTGTCAGTATGTATGTTATCATGAAGGTCGTTAATATATATATATTTAAATGAGAAGGGGACCTGGAATCTAGCCATGTGGTACCCCACTTTTGATACTGTTCATTTGTAATAAACATGGAGAGAATCCCGAAAAATTTTCACTACGGGAGAGCATATGTACTGAAAGGAGCATGTTCAGTATATAGTTGTCCTGAATATATACCTTTTAAGGTGCACATTAGTGTACACTTAAAATACTGGACTTTTGGACTATAAAATACAATAGAAATATGTACTGGAAAATGCATTGACTTTCAAGTAAGATATAAACAAACAAACATATTGTGAAAAATAAATTTTAATGCCCCTTTTAAGTATAAAAACTGAACTGGAAAAATACTGACTACTGACTGGCATTTTTAGTATAGATATAAAATGGCAGTTAAAAACATTTTCAAGTGCCAAAGTGTACTGAAAAATAAATTTAAGGACAATTTGAAGTGTGGAAATGCAATATGTTGTGTTATTTAATCACAAAGTTAACTACAATTAATGTACACCTTATACATGTATGATTTTCCCTCACCAAGGTCAATTTGGGCATTTTTCTACACAACAAATAACACAGTAGGCACATGACACGGCGTGTATACTTTTCTTCATGTTTACATTGCACCAAATGCAGACAGATCGACTAAAATTACATTCGTATGGTGTGACACTCGACATTCACCAGGACAATAATTTGTCACCCATGGAGCAAGTTAATTGTTTACTGCCAAAATAATGGGGAATTACAGCCAAATTAAAATTAATGATAAATGCTCGTATCACTTTGTTATCTTGAAGTACATATCATACTGATGTCTGATCATGAGTTCGAATTGTATTGTTTTTGATATGTGATGTATATTTCTTAGATTTTTAAAGAAATCTACAAATATTTTGTTACGGTTTTACCTTTACATCGTAATTTCAATCACCGCCATCACTAGTGAGTGCAAGCGAGTTACCTTGAAATATCAAGAGGTCGTGCTTGTTACATAATATTACTACATATGAAACAAGAGTCGAGTCATATAGTTGTTGTAATATCTATTTCTAATAAGAGCTGTTTATTGGTAGCTTACAAGCATACAAGTGAAGGGTGTGTATGTAATACAATCTAATAACAAACTATACTATCACGTGACATAGGATATGTTTTAAGAGGGGTTGTATCACAAGTACAATACAATATGAAACATCCTTCCTTTTCTGAAAGTTTGAGATAATCCCTTAATTAGAAAATATAGGTGACCTGATTTAAGTTCTCTGTTTCAATTAATTATTTAAGGTCATGGTTAAAGGTTTACTAGGATAGTTAATTAAAACATCTGGTGACCACACCATCTAAGTAGGTTGATTAATGTGACATATTCCTGGTACCAGAACTCAGTTATCAGCATTTGCAAGGAAGCATAAACAAGCTGTCAATTAAACATGATATATAATGTCCTTGAATCTTGCTATAAACCAAATACATGTATGGCTTCATTGTTTTCAAGCTTTAACATTGGAATATAAAAAAGTGTTCCTCTAAAAGTAATTTTTAGCTGCTTCATGTATGAACTCAAGAATTTTGGGTGTAACTAAGAATTTTCACAAATTAATGTTCTTAGAAGTTGTTGCTATTTTCCAGAGTTCAGATAATAATTTCATGCACTATGCAATTGATTATAAGCGATTATAATGTTTATTCTCATAGTCCTTTTCCATAGCAGTAGTCATCATATAAATCAGTTCATATCACTTTAGTATCATATTACTTTGAGAACTTTGTATCATAATCAGCCAAATAATTGGGTGGTTTTTTATCTCTACTAGGTCTGCTTTTCACAGGTGTTTTCACAGTAGGGCTATTGCTAAAGTTAGGCGTTTCCCTATTACTTTCTTGATAGATCTTTGGTGTTGCTTGTTTGGATTTTATTGGAGTTGGAGAAGAGATTTTAGTTGGAGATAATTGGACAGGTTTTGGTTCAGGGCATGATGAATTGGAATTTGAAATGGGAGGGGTTGGTTTCTCTGAGGAATATCGCAGATGAACTCTATTCCGTCTCAATAAGTCACCTTTGTCAGTTTCAACCTCATATGATCTTTCATCTAATCTTCTATGAATAGTTGCCTTTTTCCAACTTTTGTCACCTAATTTGAAAGGTTTCATTCTAACTGTCTGACCTTCTTCAAGAGGCTTCAAATCTTTGGTGTTTCTATTGAAATATTTTTGTTGTCTTTCTTGTTTATTTTTCAATTTTTCTCTGTCAATTTTGTTAAAACCTCTTGACATCAGTAGACTATTGGAAGTAGGTAACAACGTTTTAGTTCGCCTGTTCATGAGCCTTTGTGAGGGGCTACTGTCCATGTCCTGAGTAGGTGTGTTTCTATAGTCCAGAAGAGCTAGGTATATGTCAGATTTTGACTTCTTACATTTTCTCAACAGTTTTTTAGCAATTTTCACGGCTGATTCGACTTTCCCATTAGCCTTACTGTTATGTGGAGAAATAGTAAAATGATCAAAATCCCATTCATGAGAAAATTGTCTAAATTCATCTGAGATGAATTGTCCTGCATTGTCACTAATTACCTTATCAGGTATGCCATGTCTGGAAAAGTTTGCTTTTAGCTTTCTGATCACTGTAGATGACTTCATGTCAGGTATATAGTCAAGTTCAAAAAAGCTGCTGAAGTAGTCAACTGTCACTAAATATTCTTTGTTTTCAAATTCGAACAAATCAGTGCCCACATCTTGCCAAGGTCGATCAGGTATATCATGGCTCATCAGCTTTTCATTTGTCTGTGATGTTTCAAATTCTCTACAGATAGAGCATTCAGAGACAAATTGCTTGATTTCAGATTGCATGCTGGGCCAGTATATACATTCTCTAGCACGTCTTTGGCAACCATTTATTCCCAAGTGTGAAGAGTGTATTTTTTCTTTCATTAGAGGTCTGAGTTTTTCAGGAATGATAACTCGTTCACCACGAAAGATAAGACCATCTTGAACAGATAACTCATCTCTCATGTTGAAATAGGGATGAACAAGACTATGTAAGTGAATTTTTTCATTAGGCCAGCCATTCAGAATGACCTTTTTTAGTTCTTGGAGAGTTTCGTCATTTTCTGTCTTCAGTCTTATGTCATCAAGTCTTTTTGAAGTAATAGGCAGGTAAGATGCCATGTTTACTCTTTCAGTTTTGTCAGAAGAACTGTCAGACTTGAGATAAGCTCGAGAAAGAGTATCAGCCAAATACATGAGTTTACCAGGTTGGTATTTAACTTCAATGTCATATCTTTGCAATCTCATCATCATTTGCTGAAGTCTTTTAGGAGCTCGATCTAGTGGTTTTTTCAGTATGCTTTCTAAAGGTTTATGGTCTGTATGTACGACAACTTTACGTCCATAAGTCATGTGGTGCCATTTTTCCACAGACCAACATACTGCCAGAAGTTCTTTTTCTATTTGAGCATATCGAGTTTCAGTGTCTGTTAATGCTCTACTTGCATAAGCAATTGGTTGTCCATTTTGCAGAGGACATGCGCCAAGTCCAGTTTGACTTGCATCACATTGTATAGTCAGTTCTTTTGTCGGATCATAGTATTGTAAGATTGGAGTGTTTGTGACCATTTTCTTCATTTTAGTGAAAGCAGTTTCTTGAGATGGTCCCCAGTACCAGCTTACATCTTTCTTAGTCAATTGTCTGATCGGTTCAAGTACATCAGATATACCTGGGAGAAACTTTGCCAGGTATTGCACAAAGCCATTAATTCTTTGTACTCCAGTTACATCAGTTGGTCTAGGCATGTCAATCACAGCCTTTATCTTTTCAGGATCCGCCTTTAAACCATCAGCTGTCAAAAGATGACCCATAAACTTGACCTCAGTTTGTCTAAGTTTCATTTTGAGTTTATTCAAGACAATGTTTTGTTCCCGACATCTTTGCAAGAACATTTTCAGTTTTTTGTCATGGTCAATACTTGCATCTTCGTCAGTTTCACCTTGACCATAAATCAGTATGTCATCAGCTATACAGATAACACCTTCTAGGCCTTCAAGTGCCATATTGAGTCTTTTTTGAAAGATTTCACTAGAAACATTCAAACCAAATGGAAGTCTGAGCCACTTGTATCTTCCAAAAGGAGTCATAAATGTTGTCAGTTCACTAGAGTCTTCATCAAGTACTAGGTGATGAAATCCATTTTTGCAGTCAAAAATACTCATAAGTTTCTTTTTGCCTTTTGAGAGTTTGTGTGACACATCATCAAGCACAGGTAATTGATAGTGTTCACGTTTCAGAGCCTTATTCAGAGGTCTAGGGTCTATACATACCCTAATATCACCATTTTTCTTGGGTGGCAAAGCTATGCTACTCACCCATTTAGTAGGTTTGTCAACAGGTTTTATAACATTTTGAGATGTCATTTTGTCAAGCTTTTCTTTGAGCTTACGTCTAACTGAGATAGGCACAGTCTGTCTAGTCACTGTGTTCGGAGTAACAGTATCATCAGTTCTAAGAGTAACACGTCCAGGTAATGTACCAAAATCACCTTCAAACACGTCTTTGTATTCTGTACACAGGTCTTCAGCCGTCATTTTAAGAACAGGTGCTGATAAGAATTTATCATCATTTACCGTAATGAGGTCCATTAACTGTGCAGTCTTTGACCCTAAGAGAGGAGTCTGGTCATTTTCAACAACAATGAATTTTACAGAGTATCTAGTTTTTGTTTTGGGGTTTTTCAGAGTGAGAGAGACTTTTCCCCTGGGTTTATATGTAGAAGAGTTCCACATCTTAAGAGTAGTAGCAGTAGATTTGATTGAGACATTTTCTGGGACATATTTCACAGGGAGGAGATTGGGTGTAGCACCAGTATCTACTTGGAAAGTAACAAGAGATTTGCCTACCTTCATTATTGCACCCACAGAGTCCTGTTTTGTCCGAGACTTTGCCATATTTATTGATGTTAGAGCATCAACATAGTCCTCTGATGAATTGTCTTCATCTGACGAGTCTTCAACAATACGCACACGCTTTTGCTTGGGGCATTTCGCTGCAAAATGATTCTTCTCTTTGCAGTTATTACAAGTACGACCCCAGGCCGGACAGAGTTCCTTTTTGAGCTTATGGTGCGTCGTGCAGTATCTGCATTTCCCATCTATGGCATCAGTATTAGCCTTCGACTTCTTTTTCCACTTCATTTTGCGCACTTTATTCACTGTAGTAGATATAGATAGTCCTTGAATATTGTCCAAATGAAGTTGGGTACTTTCGGCACTACGACAGATGTCAATACACCGATTTAGAGTGAGATCACGTTCCTCCAGCAGACGTTTCCTTGTGGTACCTTCCTTGGAGTCTTTGATACCAAGCACAAGACGATCACGTAGTAGTGATTCACGTAAACAATCACAAAAACCACAGGTTTTCTGGAGAGCCTTCAACTCATACAAATATGTATCGAAAGATTCCTCTTCTTTTTGCTTTCTAGAGTTGAACTTATACCGTTCATAGGTTTCATTGACTTCACCAAGCGCACTATTCATAGAAGATTAGATGAAAGATCATATGAGGTTGAAACTGACAAAGGTGACTTATTGAGACGGAATAGAGTTCCTTTTTGAGCTTATGGTGCGTCGTGCAGTATCTGCATTTCCCATCTATGGCATCAGTATTAGCCTTCGACTTCTTTTTCCACTTCATTTTGCGCACTTTATTCACTGTAGTAGATATAGATAGTCCTTGAATATTGTCCAAATGAAGTTGGGTACTTTCGGCACTACGACAGATGTCAATACACCGATTTAGAGTGAGATCACGTTCCTCCAGCAGACGTTTCCTTGTGGTACCTTCCTTGGAGTCTTTGATACCAAGCACAAGACGATCACGTAGTAGTGATTCACGTAAACAATCACAAAAACCACAGGTTTTCTGGAGAGCCTTCAACTCATACAAATATGTATCGAAAGATTCCTCTTCTTTTTGCTTTCTAGAGTTGAACTTATACCGTTCATAGGTTTCATTGACTTCACCAAGCGCAAAGTCCGTGAATGCTTTTATGATATCTTCAAGTGTCATCATCTCCGCATTTGCCAATGGAAGTCCATTATAGATTTTTAGGGCATCTGCTCCTATTGCATGTTGAAATAGTGCAATCTTGTATTTTTCACTTTGGCTTTCAACATTTGCCAGTATACAATAGTTTTCCCACTGTTGTTTCCAAAGTTTCCAGTTTTCAGAGAGATTCTCTATATCCAGTTTGTTTGGAGGATGAAGTCCACTGACTTTCTGATATCTACGGTCTGCTGGTTCCGTTTCGACTTGTAATTGTTCAGCTTCAGCCATTTTGAGCAAGAGTTCTTTTTATCCAGAGACTGAGTTATTAATGTAAAATCCAGAGAGACTTTTTACATTTTTAGAGTTTTATCCAGAGAGATACAGTCAGTTCTGCTCCGCTGCCGCCATGTTACATAATATTACTACATATGAAACAAGAGTCGAGTCATATAGTTGTTGTAATATCTATTTCTAATAAGAGCTGTTTATTGGTAGCTTACAAGCATACAAGTGAAGGGTGTGTATGTAATACAATCTAATAACAAACTATACTATCACGTGACATAGGATATGTTTTAAGAGGGGTTGTATCACAAGTACAATACAATATGAAACAGTGCTATTATCATACTTAAAGAACTCAATGTGACTATCATTCACCATTTATAAAGCACTTAATTGCTTCATGGGTGGCAACGTTTTTTTCCCAGTGAATGTCGAGTCTCGCATCATGCGAATGTAACTTTAGGCGATCTGTCTCCATGGGGTGCACTGTGGTATCTACAGAGTTGAAGCAGGAGCGTATTGTTTAACGAAGATCTCTTAATGTAGATGAGAACTGTGTCTTAATTTTAGAATACTTAAAATCAGTATACTTGTCTGGGCATTTGTGTACTTCAAATTTCCTTAAATGTAAATATATATACCCGTCCATTTTTGTACTTAAAATGTCCTTTGAAAGTCAGTACAAAAGGAGTAAGTTTATGTTTTTGTATAATTTTGAAATGAAATTTGTACATTATTCTTTTCAGTACATGATTGTACTGGATTTTGTAATTTAAAAACGCTCCTTCCAGCACAAATGCGCCCCAACAGGATAAGGGTTTGTTTTATCAGTCGATTACACATACGGGAAACGAGAAACAACAATATCAATACACTTATTATTTCAGCAATGTCTCATTTAACTTTATTAATAATAAAGCAAAAAGTTAGAGATAAAAGAAGAATATGTATCCTAGACCAGAACCATGAGTGTGGAAAAAGACACCTAATAGTAAAAATTGATTCGATACCAAATGAAACCGCAATATGATTTTAGGTATTGCTGTCATCTCGAACCTTGGAAAAAGGAATACAAACACATATCAAGATTCAATGAAGCAATGGTTTTGTTGCGTTCATCCTGGACAAGGAATACTGGGTACATTTCTCCAAAATCTGGATTCAAATTTCAATATAGAGCAGTGAAAAGTAAGCAGATTTGTAAATACATACGCATTGTGTTTGAATGCAATAATATGAACATCAATTTCGGTACAGTATTATATTCCAAAAATATATTTAAGGGTGCTTTTTAAACGGTTCCAAACGTCTGGTTAACTATTGTTAAAATGGACAGCAATCCTCGTTTTGAGTCAAGAATGAACCACCATTGCTTTAGTGAAAACAGTTTTCATAAAAATGTACCGTTTACAATTTTGACATCATATCCCTTGTTTTCAAAATCATTGTATCGCTATATAATAAATGCATTATTAGAAAATGTACCGTACCGAGGCTTATGTTTATGGTACCAATCATTTTGGAATTTGCATAAATTATAAGCCCTAACGTTACATCACTTAAAATCGACAAAATGTGAACTTCAACATATGCATTTCTTCACCCCTTTAACAATCTGGACAGTGGAAATAGTTTTAGCCGGAAAAACCTAATGTTTTCTGACTTTGTTTGGTTTTGAACTCCGCAGATTATTTTGTAAAAATTAGCATCCTGCCTTCATAAGTTGCAAAATTATTGTGATCCAAAGAAATTGTCTAGGTTTCCAAAGACCAAAACATCTTCCTGTGAAATCGCAACATACTCCTATATGGTCTTCAAATGTAATCATCTTCATTAATCATGGAGCAATTCTAATGAATTATAGTTCAAAACAGTTTATACTACATTTCCTTTTGATTTTTGTAAAATATTTAGATGAAGGGCTTCTCAGATTTGGGGTCACGCGGGTACCTTGCCCCCTCTCTAACCGCTTGTGTTGGTAACATGCCCCTTTACTGTTGAATTGTTACAACTGCTTCACAATGGTCAATTTTCTGACCAAATAGTGTCCCAGTCTTGTCATATGGTATGGTTTAAACTTATAGCTCTCACTGTAAGCTTTTTAAGATCATCAAATGTGTTTCAACAATTTTAGTGAATCACATTGGTTCTTAGTCATGTTTTTAAGTCTTGTAATTTCTTAAACAATCAAGACTGAGAATGAATTAGGGCATCAACAACGATTTTAGATCTTTCTCCACAAGATGTGATAATATGAGCCAATGAGGAAAATGTAGGCTGTTGCAGGGGTTCACCTTTTTATCCACCCTGCATATAATAAAACCATGTTAAATATATGCCGATTTTATTTTAGAGACTAAAGATTCTCTTTGCAAGAAGTTAGAATTGAGTGGAGTCCAAATTGAAGCACAGAAGCACAGAGAAGGAATTTATGAGCTTGAAGCACGATTATACAATGACAATCCCGTCTACAAAAATCACTTGGACGAAAATTTCCTATATTATTACAAAGGAAAAGCTGGTCCTTCCATGTGGGCCGTAAGTCCAATTGTAGGATCAAAATATATGGGAATGTATTCAATACAGAGAAAACCAGCAGATGTGTTTTATCCAGAGAGAGCCATCGAATGGAAAAGCTCACAAGGACCAAGGTTCATGACAGAAAAGAATGTTAAATTGGCGTGTGTTCAAGGTATATTACTACGAAATAACAGAAAGGCTAAGCTTGCACTGTTTACACAACGTAAACACGAACTGAAAAAACATGAATCAATATTAGAATGATTACGATGCTACCAATTTTCAAATGTTTAGATGTTCATGTTTTCTCTTCTACCCAGAATTATAAATTCACCAACTTAACGTATAGGCCGTTATCAAGGAGTTGCAAGTCAAAACTTTGGACCGAATTTATGTGAGAATAATACAAGGTCTAAAAGTTATATTTTTTCTGATCGTTATTTCTGATCGTTATTTGTTGTATATCTTGAAATTTGAATGCTTAAGACAAAATCGAGTTGATTATCAATGTAATTTTGCTATTTGCTATCTTTGAAAGTGCATAAGTTCAGTTTTAGAAACATTGATTTTCTCAAATGCATCCTAGCATTTCTTGCATTAGCATATATTTTGATAGAAAATTCTCAATTAATCACAAAATGTGATGGAAAGACAATAGAATACGGTTTTCAACAATATCAATGTTCAAAATGACTCCCCACTTGGGACTAAAGAATTAAAAAAATGTTGCAGATTGACTTAAACAGAAAACCAGATTAAGTACTACCAAAAGCATGTTACATGCTGCGGTGTAGTCTACGCAAGAAAACTACATACGATGTATATGTGTGATAAATACATTACATGTTTTTTTTTTCGATTTCATATGCGAGCTTATATAAATTTTGTTTCATAATTACTGCCCCCAAATCAATCACATATCACATATAAAAATATAGTTTCAAAAACTGTTTTTCAAATTTGAAACTCATTTTGAAAACCCCATGTTACAAAAGCACAAAAATGATATATATTTTCTTGTATTGGACGGATAACATTTTCTTTTAATGGATATATTTTAATCCATATGCATATTAAATACATAAGGGTGATATGAAAATCTAACCACTAAATATTCAAGTTTATGGGAACTCTCTACTATACCCGCCATGCTATCTGACCCGAATGAGCCACCTGGAGGTGCATCTGGTAACTACCTACTCGCATCTGAGTTATTCTCAACGTATTGAAAAAAACGTTACAACCTGATACAATGTACTGTATATCAATCTGTAGCCATGATTCATGAAAACGTTACAACCTGATACAATGTACTGTGTATCAATCTGTAGCCATGATTCATGAAAACATTACAACCTGGTACAATGTACTATATATCAATCTGTAGCCATGATTCATGAAAATTAAAGGGGTTGTGAATACAAAACATAATTTCCATATTACGTTCCAAAAGACCAGTTTGGCCAATACTACTCTGTAGGTCGAGCTTTTTAAAAAAAGGCTTTATTACGGTGTATATATTATCGGGTCAAATGATCTCGGATTGACTGTAAATGAGAGGACGGTTTTTAAGAAATACCATTGTATATAAATATTTTTTGCAGGCTACACTTCACCTGAACTTGTACTTGTCAATGGCGGAAGCAATACTAAAGTCACAGGCGTTTATAAAAAACTACCATCATCTCCATCATTGAAACCTAAATATAAACACATATTTGAAAAGTATTACATCTTCAACCATTTGGAAAGAGAATGGCATATTTCTACTGTACTTGGAGATGCATCCTCGAGGAACTCAATATATAAAGTTGTAGACGACGCACTTGACCCATCTACAATTGCAAAATATTGGACCGGCAACAAAGCATTGACTATACAGGAAATGAAGGGAAATGGTATGTGTACATGAGTAACGCGTGTTTTAAATGGGCATATTGGTATTATAGAACAATCCATTAAAATCATGCTGGTTTACTTTGACATCCATCCTTCATGCTGCTTTAATTGCACTTAAATACAAGTCCTGACTTACGTTAAGGTTTAAGTTCAGAACGGAGGGGGTATCGCATTTGATAATTCGTGAAACAATAAATTAGTTACACCAGTTCTCGTCAGCGAGTTTGTTCTGTTAATACCAGTGCAAATTTAAAGAGGCAAGTATTCAAGAGGAAAGTATTCAATTTATAACATCGATTGTATAGGTGTCGACATCCCCACGAGGCACGGGTATTTCATAGTTTGCACATAAATTGAAACCAAGCTTGTATCACACTACTATACCTAACACCTAGAAATGCATAAGATACTTTGATTGTCTAATTGAATTGTTTAATATATTTTTGAAAGTGCCTTACTAGCATCTAATTTTCAACCGATAAACCATTCATAAGGAACAGACAAATAAAAACAAATACATAATCATTACTAATAAGCCAAATGGGTTGCTCATGAACACCTAATGCAAGGTATAGTAGTGTGTGTATTCGCGAATGCAAATTTACCTGGTTAGCCTGCTATTCTATGACAAAATCGTTGAATGGAAAATTGGCGGGGTCTATTCACATCAAAGTGAGTTGTCCATAACATAGTATGTCAACCTGATAGCCGGCATCCGATAGTTGCATTCGTCAATTCAAGCTGCAATTTTTAACAAACGCTTCCTGTTTTCAAAATTGTTAGAAACCAATACATAATCGAATGGAACAATAGAATATTCGAAGAAGTAACATGTTGAAAACTATTTAGAACAATTTTATCAAAAGGAAGTGTTTGTTCACGTCATGATTTATGCAGTAGGGTTCAAAGAGGATCATAAGCCAGAGTTACAACTCGATATCCTTTAATCTTAAATCTATGGTAGCAGGAAGAATGAATGATATTTTTCAACAAAGCTGGCGTCATTATTGTCTGACATTAACATTGCTATAAATTAAAAACCAGCATTATAAATATTTAAACTTATGGCCATTAATTAAGCCACTAATGATCCTGATCTCTTGTGTGTTCTAGATTTTTTGTTTGGCCATTGTATGATGACATAAAAGTAATGACGTGACTCCGTGGCAATGGAACCTTTACTAAATCACAGGCCGGTATCGAAAATATGTCCGCTGTGACGAAGCGTGCTATTTTGCATTGAAACGCTATGAAACCAACACAATTTATTTTTTACTCATACGTTTCGCTATAGCAAAGAAAATTACATACTCAATGCAATGGATATATCATTTGCGGGTAACTTTAACTTCTGTTAGAAGTCCAACAACGCTTAGAGTAAAGCTATCGAAAACGGCGCCGGGGTATCATACTCCAAAATGTACCATTTCTTTTATTTCTTTTTAATGGTACAATATAGTGAGGCGATAATATTTACATATGTTTTCAGCATAACTCTGAAGCTATTAATGAGATCTTGATGTATTGGGTATTTTTAATATTTTTTTTATAAAAAATAATGTTGAAATTTTTTGTCCGCTGTGACGGAGCAGTTTCTAATCTGAAATACGTTGAGAATTCAAAATTTATAATATATCTTTTACAACTACACTTTAGAGGAGCGAACGTGTCAAATCTCTTTCGTAAAGTATCCTGAAAAATGAAACGTAATAAAAGTACACAATTCAAATTCTGGGGTGTATACTAGTATACGATCTTTCTTTAAGCTTTTTTCTCAGTTTGTACTGCAATCTAACGTATTCATGGTAACTCATTAAAATGATAGTCAAATTCATTTCAGTATAGGGTATTTGCCTTTCGTAGTGCCTACTGTGGATCCATCCCCTGACATGGTCATTTTTATGGTAACTTGATTATTTTGAAGTAAAATGATTTGATGAAGATGAAGCTAAATATATATAATGGTATGAACTGTGGATTGTTCTACCCTATACAGTCATTCCAAAAGGTAAGTGGAGTGTATCTTGAAATACGAAAATGCAAAATTAGATTTTGAGATAGTTCTTTATTTAAATACGAGTTATGGTTATCTGATGCAACTACAGTAAAACATGTGTACAGTGGACACATATGGAGCCCAAAAATGTGTACCCAGTTGGTAGATGTTCACTCCATAGAGGACATTTCATACAGGAGTCAGAGGAATATTTGATAAGTAGAGGTGTTCACTAGAGAAATATGTTCATTGATACAGGTTTTACCGTTCATTGATACAGGTTTTACAGCCCAATACTTTTTTTTTAATTTTTTCGACTAAGCAAAACGATGAGGCATGAATTTCAAATAATTACAAATTAAATCTGTATTGGGATCATCTTACATACAGTAATATTATGTGGTAAAAGTGTATACATCTGTCGGAATGCAGGATGTCTGCACGCTATTTCGAATAAATTCATATTAGCCCTATTTACTCTACACGTGACATTCCAAGGCGTCTTGGTGAAAACATATTAGAAATTTTATGTTGAGTTTACACCATGTTGATTCATGTTGATTTCAGTACAATCCTCCGAAAAATGCTAAAAGTAGTCGTTTTTATATCTCAGATTTAACTTACTCCAGATCTCCCAGACTACTTGTCATAATTTAGGATAGTGATTTGAGACCTTCTCTCCTCTAAGGGTACTTTTAAAAGATACAATTTGAATCATTAATTCTTAATTTAGTTCACAGTTAAAACTGCTCCGTCACAGGGGACAATGAATTTAAATATTATTTTTTATCAAAAAGAGTTATGCTGAAAACATATGTACATATTATCGTGTCATTATATTGTACCATTAAAAAGAAATAAAAGAAATAGATATATTTTGGAGTATGATACACTGGCGCCGTTTTCAATAGCTATTACATTGTTGGACTTCAAACAGAAGTAAAAGTTACCCGCAAATGATATATCCATTGCACGGAATAAGTAATTTTCTTTGGTATAGCGAAACATATGGGTAAAAAATAAATTGTGTGAGTTTCTTAGTGTTTCTATGCAAAATAGCAAACTCCGTCACAGCGGGAAAATTTTTCGATACCGGCCTGTATACATAGGGGGGGTTAAGATTAGTGTAAAATGTACGTATACCTATCCCTATCCGTATGTTTGTAAGGCATGCCAGTTGCAAACATACGGATGGAGATAGATATACGTACAAGTTTACGGTAATCTTAACCTCCCTAATATCATAATGGCACATCCCATATCCTTCTTTTATAGTAAGTACATCATTACATAAATATAAATTTCTCTTCGTTTCCTTTTAGAAATCCCCTGTACCAAAATTGAAATAGCGGGTACGCGGAGCATACAGGCAAGAAAGATGGGCGTGTTTACAATGATACCTGAGTTAAGTGATCACCGATTAGTATATAGTCATGAGTACATGGGGATATACCTCTACTTTATAAACTTCGATGTGGATCTTCAGTACTGGCTGATTGGTAGTACTGCAGGGGAGACAAGTGCTGGTGTGAGGGGTGTATCATCCAGTGTTACACCTCTAGGAACAGATTTATGGGAGGTTTGGTCAATGTTTGACTGGGCAGTTGATAAAGATCTTACTCTAACATGTTTAGATGGTATGTTGTATGATAATTACAATTCATATTTTCATCACAGAGACCATGATCAGCCATCTTTATTATATAGATTATCAAGATACTTCAAAACTTATAATATAAAAACTATAAACCAGAAAATAATCAAATTCTTACTCCAAATCATCATATGGACAGCCAAATCGTGTGTTCAAGTTTAGGTGTATACATAGTGACCATTTGAGGTATTTATGTAGAATCCAGGTGAGGTACTTTCTAAGTGTACAATTCTTAGAACAAAATCGCAAGAATATAGTCCCGTAAACTGGAATTAGGTTATTCGCTAGTTTTCATCGATGGGAGCAGGGATTCTACCTACAAACGAGTCCTTATGTTGGCGAAGTGATATAGTATAAATCGAGTCGGAAAAGTATGTTAAACATAGTGTCAAGATGAAGGTTATATATAGGGGAAGGCAGATTTATAAATGTTTGAAATGTTTTTCAATGAATTATTTGTATACTGTTGTTCAGATATTTTTAATTAGAAACATAATGAACCAGCTGGATAATCATAATAAATTAATATTCCCAATCCGTTCAGTCTTATTGATTAAATGATTGTCAGTCGTTGGTTTGCGTAATTGGAGACAATTTATTGAAAGACTAGCACTCGTATCACAATTATTTCTAAGGTTTGATTTACCGGACTGTGTATTCAAGACACAGCTTAAAGCAAAATAGTCAGAAAAATATATTTCAGCGCAGCGGTCAAATGATTACACTTTGGAGTTTGGGGAAAGGTGAATTATGGATATGCTTGTCTGAATCACTATAACTTTAGGTAACCCTACTATCACACCAAACTAGTTCTCACTACGTTCTCGAAAACGGGCTTCAACTGTGTACGAACGGACTGGAGGTACTTAGAACCAGTTGGGGTCTATTTAAAAACTTCATAATGTACTCGAACGGGTAGGTCCTCTATATTGACACCAAGCAAGTTGCCACTGCGCTTTTCAAAACTGGTTTCAAACTGTGTGCAAACGGAATGAACGTAGCTTCAACGTTCTACGGTCTGTTTACGAACTTCATGGTCTTTCCCGGACGGGGAATGTGATTTAGAATTTTGATTCGATTCAAAATTCGATGGCGACCATACCGTTCTGTAATCAGGTCATGATGACCTTCTAGACCAAGGGACGCGTTATACGACGTTGCACACCGACCTGGTGCGACCTGAACGAACTGCTAATGAGATGGACGTATTGAAGACCGTTTATGAACGATATAGCTAATTATTTTAGACATATTTCCCGACCACAGCCAGATTGAGCCAGTTTTACGACGTTTTTGTAGGACTGGCAAGAACGGGTAAGAACTGGTTTGGTGTGATAGGGGGGGGGGTAAGAGTGATACATAGATATAAGTAGCAGTGGTAGTTTTGCACTGTACTTGTATAAGTGTACCTCTTTTGACATCCTACGATCACAGGGCTGCAAAATCCAGAATATATTCTTTCTTTTTACACCCTGCGATAAGCAGATAGCATTTCCCCGATTAAGCAGTCGTAATCTGATTGGCTGTCACAACACTGCGACAGAAATCATGTACAATTAGATCACGTGATTCAGTTTAATCGGGCGCTTCCAAATTGGTTAAAGCAGGGGGAAGAAGGAGGAACGGATTCTGGATACCTGCTTAGGAGGATGCTCTTTTGAAGGTATTGACATTTCCCTCCATTTTCCAAAGTCTTGAAATCCTCAGGTCGCTCGAGATACCCCTGGTGTCAATTTTAGCATCTAACTCCAACTCACAATTTTTCACTTGGCACCTTTTGAGGTGGATCCCGGCTATGGCATTAATGGTTGAGAAATAGATCGAAACCAGCCATAGTTTTCTCCTGATGACCATTGTGAATTGTTGTGTTTCATGGATTATAATGATGGCTTTGCGAACGGATGTTGGCCCTTTGAATTGCACATGGACTTCCAGACTGGATTTTATCTATCCCACTTAATTTGAGATCTTTTATGAGTACTAGTATCTACAACTATTTTTGATGTTATGAGAATTGGTTATCAATTTTTCAATTTTTCTTCAACTCGTATTGTAACGACTTCAGTATGAATGAAATGTCTCTTGGTGTTCTGGTTCTTGATTGTGATATTGGCTCTCGATTGGAGGGGGAGGGGGATGTTAGGCATTGTTTCTTTTCACGTTAGATCATGGTTTTGGGATACATAGGGTCTACCTTTCTTATGACAGACTTCCATTTTGGCATTTGTGCTTATATGTCCACAAGAAAGCAACGGTTATTCAATCGCACGGTGTCATATTGTTAGTAAATGATGTATTCTTAAAATGATATATAAAACATGGCAGGATTGAACAAATACCATATGATATTCGTCTTTAAAGGGACTTTAAAAATAGCTATGTTGACCAAAGTGTTAACGTTTTCGGAGTGGAAGGAATTTTTCGTTTTGAAGGGGTGTATGTATTGAACGTTTCGTGAATTACAAAATAATTCCCGGATATCCAAAATGCTTGCGACTTGACTGTCTCGTTTTTGCGTGAACTTTATTGACCAGTTGGTCTGTTGGCAGAATTGTCCCCTTGGGTGCGGCAGGTCACAGGTTTCGATTCCCGGAGGAATATATCTGATTCATTTCTTTTTTGGGTTGTTGGCTCGCTTGTTATTACGCAGAAATAAAGAGTACTTTATCCTTATGAGGTTAGTTTCATGAAAAATGTAAAACATTTCACAGTCCGCCAATATACAGTACATACAATGTATTTTACATGTATACTCCCCTCCATAAGTTTGGCAACCTTAGCTCTAATATTGAACTACGTGTTCAAGCCTCTTTACCTTGGACTTTTTATTTGCTTAACCTGCAAGTATGTAAATATTGAATTACAAGGACATAAGTAATTTGTAAATCTTGGATTACATGGACATGAGTACAACGTAAATCTTGAATTACATAGACATGACTAGTATGGACATTTTGAATTGCATAGACATGAGTAGTATGGAAATCTTGAATTGCATAGACATGAGTAGTATGGAAATCTTGAATTGCATTGACATGAGTAATATGTAGATCTTGAATTTCATGGACATGAGTAATATGTAGATCTTGAATTACATGGACATGAGTAATATGTAAATAAAAATAATTGAGAGAATGAGCATAATTAACCTTGTTTACATACATAATAAACTCTCATAAATTAGCAAATCCATTGGAATATTAACTTGAATATGTTGCTAAATGCTTTTACTATAAAATAAATTGATCATATGGATTGTGCGGTGTCATAGGGAATGCTTAAATACTTCATTAGATGTGATACCAGACTCTGAGAATCAAAGCTTAATGATCAGTAATGACTGAGTAAGATAGTGCATAGATGCAGGGATCATCAGAAAAATAATATTCACACTGATAAAAAGTTCAGTTTAGTTCGAAAAATCCTTTGCTCATACTAAATATGATCTTAAACAAATATGTTCAGTTCAGTTCAGTGTCTTTATTTCCTCCACATAGGTGAAGATTTAAACATTACATATAATTACAGACAATTCACATTAACAGATTATTTACATTTGTACATATGGTTACATATAGATTTACATTTAGAGTTTTTACATTTCTGTTTGTTTAATAACTGTTTTCACCATTAGATCAATGTAATATGCACTATTCAATAGGAACTGTTCAATTGTACCATCTTGGCAATTTTGAAGTACATCAGTAGTGCTTCCTAATAACGTTTCTACAATAATATCTTCAGAAGTGTTCAATAATTGAACTGATAAATCAATAGGTAGTATATTAACAATACCATCTAAGAGTTTCTCTCTCAAATAAATAACTCGGACATGCTGGCAGTGAAGAACAAGGTGACTGACCATATCAATTGTTAACTTTTTACATGCAAGGCATTTCGTTTCTTTTTCGGTAAAAAGTAAAAGGAGTGAAAGTAACTGGCCAAATCGCCAAGTAAACATGGGATATTTTAGACCAAGTTCCCAATAAATAATAGGCTTATACTCTATATGAACATTTGAAAAGCGTTGTAATCTTGGATTAATGTGGACAGTCTCTCGCCATGTTTTTGATTCTGTATACTGAATTTGGCCATTTACTAATAATTTCCATTTTCCTTTGTCCATAATTCTATGTTTAAAAGTATTTCCTTCCAAATAAGTTAAGAATTCTTGACGGATAACAGGATATGTATCTAAAATAGACATGACGTCACTTAAAAAACCCTGACTATGCAGATTATGGACATCTCGTACAATCGTGCTCGCAAGGCGAATTATAAATATTTTTTTTCTGTATTAAGATGTCACTTAATCTGCATAGTCGTCCTAGAAACATTAATTTTAATTTATGTATATAAGATTTCACTGAATATTGCCCAAGAGAGCTTATCACAGCTCCACTAGGTGTACGATTCACCATGCCCTGAAATCTTTTTGTTATGTGACGCTGTGTAATCTCTATTGTTTCAATTTCATTAGGACTTAAAGAATACCATAGTTCGCATCCGTACATTGCCGTCGGCATAATGATACGATTCCATATTTTAAGACTTACTAATGGGTTAAGTCCTCCATTGTACATTCCTATGTTGCATAAAGAGTTAAAACACGCTCTAGCTTTTTTATTAGTATCTATCAAGGCAGGTTTGGAAGTGAGATTTTTGTTGATAATATTGCCAACATATACTTGTTCATTTCTGGTAGGTATTGAATCCTTACCTAATGACCAGTTTGAGTTACACTTATTTAGGTTTGATTTCCCAAAGATAATTACAGCACTTTTACATTGATTTAAAGGTGGGCCAGCATGATATACTAGTCTCCAACGACAGCTGTACTTGTATACAATATCTAATAGATTTTGTAGACCACTAGCAGTGGCGGATATGACCGTCGTGTCGTCGGCTACAAGTATACATGGCAATTGTAAATCTGGTGCAATCTTAACCCCAAAAGATGACTGGCACATTTCAATTATTAGGTCATTAATGTAGATTTGAAACCAGATTGAACTACAAATTCTTCCTTGACCACAGCCTTGATTTATGGTTATCTCCCTAGAGTATTCATCATCGTACAAGACTCGAGCACTGGTATTACTATACCCTTGTACTATGAGTCTCCACGAGAGCCCATTGATACCTAAATTAAAAAGTTTTACAAATAGACCATGTCTATACAATAAATCAAATGCCATACGATTATCAAGAAATGCACAAAAAACTGTAGAGTGTCGTTCATTAAAGTGATGTAGGACTTCCTTTAAAACGTACGTTGCCATTTGGCTACCTCCACCATTTTTGCTAGCAAATTGCAAATTATGTGGAACACCTGCCCTCTCTAATACAGACATGTTTCGGTTTAGAATTATAGTGTCCCATATCTTGTTGATAACAGGTGTAAGTGTTAACCCCCTAAAATTAGTTCGTATTCTTTTGTCTTTCTTCTTACCCTTATGTAAGGAAATGATGGTACCAAGTTTTTGACTTTTTGGGACACATTCTAACCTAATCATAGTATTAAAGAGGTTTGTAATTGTTTGTATAAGCATACTCCCACCATGTTTAAAGTGCTCGTATGTTATCAAGTCATAACCTGGAGCCTTATTGGAAGAACTAGATTTAATGACGTCATATACGTCCTGTGACGAAATTGGGGCACTCATTTCTCTATCCTCATTATGATATGACTCTATGTAACATCTTTTGAAATCAGATTCTATTTTACTCATGAACTCGTTATCAAAATGTGGGTAGAGAGAAGGAGTTCCCAATTCCTCATAGTAATCTGCCCAGGCATCACGAATTTTGGCTGGATCACGGACAATTTGCCCATCAACGAGGAGCTCATGAGATTCCCTTTTTAGGTTTCTAGACTTTCTAACTACTTTATAGAAATCGTGTATATTCAAATCTGCAGCTTCCTCAAATTTTGTATCTTGAGAACGCTCATACATAATTTTAGCACGTCGTAATTCAGCCCTGAAACTTCGCTTCGCTTTTTTATATTCAATTAAGAACATGTTACATTTAGCTTTTGGTTTACCGTTACTGATCCAGACACGTCTGGATTTTCTCATTAAAGTATGTAGTTCTTTAACTCTACCAAATTTCCAAAATGGATTTAAAAAATGTTTAAAACACGATTTTGGAATTGCACTATTTGCTGCCTCTTTAATAGCATTCATAATATCAGATGTATAATGCTCAAGATCTGATTCATTCGTTGCATTGCTCATATTAATTGACCTTAATTTTCTCTTCAGTGATTCACGATAATTCATTAAATCTTCTCTGGAGGATTTATTCCACTTCAGCATTGTTACTTCGCTATACTTTTTTAAATTTTGTTCGATGCAAAATTCCATAAATATTGGACAATGGTTTGATAGAATCAGATCATGATCATCTGTGACAGAGCATCTTTTAACTAAATCCAGTTTAGAACCTGGTATCATGATAAAATCAATGAGAGACTGGTGCATCATGTCGCTACTAGTGTATGTATACAGTGGACCAGTAGTGACTTGTTGCGTATTGACACATACAAATTCGCAATCATCTAAAAACTGCTCAATATATTTGCCACGTTCATTGGGTGTTCCAAAAAATCGTGGCCCACACTTTGAGGCTGAAAGATGACCGTTAAAATCCCCAGCAAGAATAACAGTTCCTATACTATTATATCTATCACATACATCTTTCAGATCGCTAATGTATTCCCTATATTCATATGTTGATTTATTAGTAGAGGGAAGATACACACCAATTATAAAAAGTGGTTCTTTTGATAAGGTAATCTGGATACCACAAATTCTATCACTCGATATTTCTAGATCACACACATATTTAATGCTTTTTCTATAAAGTATAGCTACTCCCCCACAACCACGCCGTTTATTTACTATATCAATTGATAGGGTTTTATCACAAGCAGCGACGCTTTTAAAATCTGAGTCAATTGTATTTAAGTAATTCACATTACTTGGGTACAACCAGTGCTCCTGGATGATGCATATATCAGTTTGCTGTAGTCTCTTACACAAGTATGGGGTGCTATACATAACCCCTTGTACATTCCATGATAGGAGTTTAATTGTCATTATTAAAGATATAAATATAAGATTTATTCCCATGAATTGTCTTGTTCAGTGTTGCTCTTATAGTTTGGAATCCATTCTTTACAAAGTACACCGTCTGGCCAAAAATGTTGGTCATCTAATACAGAATGGCTATGCTGTGCAAGTACATTGATCCGTAATGAATATGAATGAGTAAGGCCAAAGTTTGAAGTATACGTTTTAAGGAGACGGACGAATGTAATTGTCACACCCTTGCTAAGGGCGAAAGATTGAATTTTCTTACTAAGATCACCAAATGGCAATTTGGATCGAAGACGCGATACGAATAAGCGCTTTATGTTTTGCCGTTTGTTACGTGGGCGTTGATATCCCGAGAATCCAATGTCGTGTTCACCTTCGTCATCGTTGTTAGTAACATCTGTGTCATTAGATTCTTGTCTGTATGAAGTTACAACAGGAATAGTATTCACCTTAGTTGTGGCTGCTAGGCAAAAGGAATGTTCACAGGGTGAAGAAGGTTTTCGTTTACCTTCACTTGTAGTAGGTGTTGTCCTTACACGTTTGGACGAGTCAGGTTTGGCCATATTGTCACCTCTTTCCTTAGTCGTATCTGCATTGACCGATGATTGCTTGGCAGAGCTGTTAGTCGTTTTTTGCTGAGGAGATGACGACATACTGTTATGGTCATTTGGGGAAGTACATATGTCAGGCACTGGACTCGTGGGATCAGTAGCGTCCATTGTTTCATGTTGGTTAGCAGTTGATACAAACCGTTTACGAGAATAAGTATCCTTAAGTTCATTAACATTCTTGTGGACAGTTCCGACTTTTCCTTCAAGAGCATTTAGTCGTTGTTTAACATCATTTTCATAACTTTGCATTTTGGATTTAAATTCAGAGACTTCGTGTTCTCTTTCTTTTAACAGTAATTTTACATGTTTTAGCTCATTTTTGGCTTTTGCCTCACAGTCTCTGATTGTTTGTTCACTTTGTTTGTATTGCTTAATTTGTTTTTGTAGGTCTTTAATTTCAGCATTTTGTAGCTCGAGGGTTTGAGAAATTTCAGCGCATGTTCCTTTAATTGTAAATATATAAGACATCATGGTCTCCATCATTGAGAAGTGGGTTGACGTAGTCGGTTGACTATGTTGATTGATGGAATCAGGGTCGCAAACATCATCATTTGAAATAAATGATCTAGCGAAGCGTGACGTATGTTCATTGTCAACTATTGGAGTTTTCGTAAATATTGACATGAGGTCTGCAACACTATTGCCTTCTGTGAATTGATAAAGTGCGTAGCAATCACTAGCAAGTTTGCTTTTGCGATCTTCACTCCGTCCACCTTTCCTTGCTATCAGCTTGAATTTAGGTGTTTCAGAGCGTTCCATTCGTGCTCTGATGAGTAGATAATCCCTGAATCCATCTATAGATAGGTTACTGTGCTCACACAACGACAACAGTCTTTCAATATACACATCTTTCGGCAGTTCCTGCAATGTTTCGAAAAGTTTATCCCATGTACGTTGTGCACTTGGGATCTGGCTTTGGGTTTCATCTTCACCAGCGCTCGAGTCAGAATATTCATGATCATTGTTACTACATGCCATCTTTCCAGCATTTATGTAGATTTTTTTTAATTCAATTGAAAGAGGGTAGCACTGGGCTTACACCGTTCCATTCCATTTCAGCAACGCATTGAGCTACTCAGGCCGATGTGACCTCGGGTATTGTTTTAATCAGCAAATATTATCAAAATAGCTATATTATAGTCTATTCCACTGGCCACTGTGATTTTTTCCGTAACTGGTCTTTAGTAAGTTAGAATATGTGGTTAGCCTACTAAATAGTTAGGAATGGCGTTTGAATGTAGAGAATCAGTTCAAAGGATTTATGTAAAAGCGTTTTACCGTTTTTCCTGTCGGCCAATGTACACTAATATATATCCAAAATGATCTCGGAACTGTCCGATTTAATTGTGCCCGAAGCTCCAAATCCTAGTTTGATCTAAATAAGCACAATTCCATATTTAATTCCAAATCTCTGCAGCAAAAAATATAAACATCTATCGACTTTCCTTGGAATATTTGACAAAACAGTTGTAGTGTCTAACATCACTCTATTGAAGCATTGCAATCATCCATTATGAGATCACACAATTCACATGACCATTATAATAGTTTAAAACAGTCAAGAATACAAGGTATTTAACAATTTGATGTGTTTCATAGCTTATTTGATAACTTATTATACATTTATACATGGTAAGTTGGGGCTATTCCTGTACGATTTTTTATTTACCCCGGGTGTTTTGGTTTCCAGTTACTATGGCAACCATTTCTTAAAGGCCCCATATAAAGTTTAAACCACTTTGGCTTATATTGTAGTCTTACCCAATGTTATCAAAGTGTGATATGTGAAACTTTTTTTTTAAATTTCAAAAAGTGGTTTTTGATAGACTTTTTGTTCCAAAATTTGTGAATTTATTTAAAACCAACTTTTAGAGGTCACTCATATCTTCTTATTAGCCACAATTCATACCAATGCATAGCATTCATCCTCCCGTGTTTTTTGCCGAAAAAATTAAGAAAATCGGTTAATAAATAAGCGAGAAATGAACTTATCAGTGCATGAAAATGGTTCTGAGAAAAATGCATTTCAAAATTTTAGTTCTCATTGAAACCAATGGTACAATGATATCTAAAACATAATTTATTCTTCCTTTTAACCTGGTTAGACAATCAACATTGTTTTTTTTATGAAAGTCTAACATATGTAGAAAAGATTGACATCGAAAAAAAATTTAATTTTTTTCAAAAAGTTTTTGGTACCTTAGTGACATCACTAATGTTTCAAAATATTTTTGATATGCTAAAACATTGAAGTGGCCCATTAAATATGTCATTTTATTATTGAAATAGTGTGTCCTTTGTTCAACCTTTGCATTGGTGTTAAAAAGATAATCTTTTTTGAAATGCATTAAGAAATATTTGATGATTAAGAAATTTCAACTTTTTTTGAAAAATGGCGGGAAATTTGAATATTTGAGAAATGAAATGCTCACAACTTTTTTTTCAAAAAAAAATTTTTCTTCAAAAATCTCTAAAATCACTTTTTAAGTCCTGACAAATAGTAAATGAATGATAAAAAAATATTTTCAAACTTTAGACGGGGACTTTAAATAATATTTCGATTATACCAAATATTTGTTGATACATTACACTCTGTTAAGCATGATAAAAGGCAAGAAGTTTAGTTAGAAATAAAAGAGTTATCTCATGAATGGGACCCTTACATAGCTCCTAAAAGGTAGAAGACACTAAATGGTGTAACACTATAAGCTGAATTTTGTCCACATAGAGCATGTGCACAATACTAAAGACATGTAAAATTGAACTGTCAAAAGAACTGAAATATACTTACCAGCTCGCCTCTTCCGGAAGTTATGATACGTTATGGTGTAACTACGGTAATTAATTTTAAAATATTGAAAAAATCACAAAATACAAGTTCTGAGGTATATATCGCCATTTTTAAGCGAATTAGCCCATACTATGACTATATATTCGCACCCCCATATACAGATATATATAAACTTCATCTTCACAATAAATTGAGCTTCTTTCAAATTTCCATTTTTTGAGATAAGTGCCATTTTCTTACAATTCAAGCCGTAAAAATAGTTGGAAAGTGCTTCCCAGTTGAGGTTAATGGCTTTTATACTTACATTAATGTATGGAGCACTTAAAATGTACTTAGAATCGTATAAATAGCTCTATTCTGTGAGATTTATTTTTGTTTTTATTTTTATATTTTTCTCACCTCATAATTGAAGAGCTCCGCTGTTGATTTACATTCAGTTACACGTATTTCCTTGAACATTTGCCATGATTGGAACAAATGATGGTTGGTTTATGTTTTATTCATTAAGTTTGTATTTGAATCTAGCTACTTAAACACAAAACATGTCTTCATGTTATGCTAAAGAGCAAAGATCGCGAATTCTAGGTGAAGCCAATTATTTTGCACAAGTCATATCCTGATTGCATCATAGTTACTTTGTACTAGTCACATCCTGATTGCATCAGCCAATTCACGTGATTTACAGTTTACACGGGTTAACCCAACTAATTGTTATAACATGCGTATTCCCATACAAACGATCTGTCTTCAAGAGAAAACTAAGATTTGTGGACATGTTTTGCTATCATTGCATCATACCCCAGTATGTCCTCTGTCAGTCAAAAAAGTTTGAATCAAAACTCCCCACGAAAATCAAAAGATCTCACCTGTTGAAGACGCCATCTATAGAAAATGTCAAAAAATGTCATTCTGATTTTGACAGATGGAGGCAGGTCAAAAAGGTCAAATTTTTTAAAGAAAATGCACCTTAATCACATCAAATCATGTCTCAGAGTTGGTCCACACATACACTTTTTCATTCATGTACTTACCAAAATCCAACCACTGGTGATGCTAATGTAATTACAATAATTGGACTATATTTTTGTTTTTATAATGCCATCTATTCGTCTTCCCACTCGGCGGAAGGATCTAATGGTTGTGTGTCTCCCACATGGTTTCAATATACATGTTATACTACTTCCGGGTAGGGAAGTGTTTTTTATACTTTAAAAACGAAGCCATTTCGATCAGTTTTTATAATCCTTGGTAGAACTGAGAGGTATTACAATACATATTTAAATTAATACACATGAGTGTATTTGATGAACTCTCAAAAAATAAAACCCACAATAATATCTTTTTTATTCACAATTTCATGTCATTGTTTCTAACAAGTCACCTCTTTCTCTCTTTTCTTAATTTTTGTCAACAGTCAAAATCGGAATTTAAAACTTGGTTTCTTTACAAGCTCTGCTTCTGTAAATACTAAATAACATGAAAAATGTTAAACCTTACATCCTACACTTATTTGATATGAAATAGGCGATCATTGATATCATTTTTGTGCTGTTAAGTGTGGATCTTTTAATTTTTTAGTCAAACTTGATCGCTGATCTCTGTCGATGTGACGTCACGCATTAAGTATGCACGCATGGGCAGTACAATACATAAGGCAATATGGCGTCTTAGGCCTATACATGAGCCAGAATGGAGGTCTGCAAGTTGAAATGAATATGTTTGTTTATGCATCAATCGATCACACATATAATCCAGACAATCTTTCAAATCATGTACTTAACATTGTAATGGATTTATTTATTTTGTGAGCTTACGTTCCCTTTAATTTTCATTGGTGAAGCAATGATTTTACCTAAAATGAGTCCCTGTCTTTGCATAGTGATATTTAAAAATCGAGAAGCAAAACCTATGTTGAATATACTGTGCATTGATGAAGTTTATATATAGCCTAGGGGAACTCAAAAATATTGTTATTATATCGGCAAATTCGCTCGAAAATGGTTGTACACCCTAGAAATTGAATGTTGTTGATTTTTTCAATATTTTAAAATTAATTACCGTAGTTACACCATAACGTATCATAACTTCCGGTAGAGGCGAGCTGGTGAGTAATTTCTATTATTTTGACAGTTCAATTTTACATGTCTTTAGTATTGTGCACATGCTCTATGTGGACAAAATTCAGCTTATAGTGTTACACCATTTAGTGTCTTCTAACTTTTAGGAGCCATGTAAGGGTCCCATTCATGAGATAACTCTTTTATTTCTAACTAAACTTCTTGCCTTTTATCATGCTTAACAGAGTGTAATACAGCCTTCTTTACTACACATTCTGTGAAAAATCTATCAGAATATATTGAAAAATAAAAAAATAGAGAGACATTATGAGAACTTTATGATATACCCTCGTACATTGAGTAGTATGTAAATCTTAAATTGCATATTCATGAGTAGTATGTGCATTTATAATTGAATAAGTAACATTTTAAATGTAAATGTTTGATACATTGTCAAACTTCACTTATTAACATTCAATTTCGTAGATACAATCGACATGAACATATTCGACGAAGTTATTCCAATAGGGAAAGATGATCCTATACCTACAACTTCTATGCCGATAACAACCAGCAAGGCAGCTAACCATTGTTTGAGTGGAAACAACAGATGTGCAAAATCAACTGCAACATGTTTATATAATGGAAAATCATACAGCTGCGAATGTAAGACTGGCTATACAGGAAATGGATTTACATGCAGAGGTAGGAAATCATCTTCAAAATAAATTGTATTGCAATTAATCAATATTCTGGCTGTAGAATTTAAAATAATTCATAAACGAACTATAGTTACCAATTCTTGAATACTCGTGTAAAGTTTTGAAAAGATTATTGAGATTCGGACAAACTACTAAGGGGCTTGTCTGATCATACATGTACAGGGCGTTCATAAAGTTCTTGCAAAAGTACTCTAATTTTTGGGTTTCTCAATCAATCTGGGTGAGATTTTCACTAAGTATACCTACACTATTCATACATTTGAATCTTGAATTATAATGAACAGGTCCATGAAGAAAAAAAGTTATGATTTTTATAGTAATATGAGTCAGGGGTAGGCGGAGCAGCATTGAAAAAAAGAAAAATATAGATAAAAGATATGGGTTAGAGGTAATTTTAACATACTTTAAAGTATCCTGGAAAATACAAAACAAGCTAATGTTGCCATGTCAACCCTATATGATGTCATCATAGTTGAAATTTCTTTGATTCATGACATCACTGATGGTATTAAAGTGACCTATATTGGTTGATGACATCGGCCTTTGTGAAAGGCAGCGTCAATTTTATTTTTGTGAAAATGGCTGCAAAATCAGCAAAATATGATGATTTGCTATTACAAATATTCAGTCGCATTGGGATGTATGTTTTACTGGGAAATTCAAGAAAACAAACACTTGAAGACATTCATAAGGTGTAGGGGAAGGAGGGTATGGCCAAAAGAACCATTTACAAAATGGACTAAGACATTTACTGATGGTAGAACAAATGGTAAGGACAATGCTAGATCAGGCCGACCAAGAACGAAATCCAATGAGGATCAGATGATGTTGATGAAAGCCATCAATACAAAGATCAATCGCAAGAAATTTTCCAGATGAGTTCCTTCATCTGTTTGAGGAATGGTAAGTAAGACAGCAGAGGTGTATAGACCACGATGGACACTATTTTGAACACATTACACTCTTGAGATACCGTTATTAAAGTAAATAGGACAAGTTAAAAACATTTTGAACATTCAAACAAAACAGATCATTTTTGCCTGCTCCGCTTACCCCCGATGCATGTGACTATAGGAACCGTAACTTTTTTTCCTCAAAGAGACATTGATTATAACTTCGGATCCCAATGTATGAATAGTGCAGGTATACTGAGTGAAAATTACAGCCAGATTGACTGAGATACAAACATTTTAGAGCACTTTTGCAAGAACTTTATCAACGCCCTGTACACACTCCCTCTTATGTGTAGTACCTTGTTTGTTGCAATACAGCTTCCCAGACGAGCGTGCCCAAGATTACAGATTCGTTGGAATACTTGCATTTTAATGTGGTTTAATGTCAATACTATTGGTTACAAATGTTGCTTAACTTTCCAACATGCATAGCAATGTTTTTCTCTATGAAAATGTTATTCATGATATCTGTTTTTGTGATTTAGTATCTGAATAGGAAATGCTCATTTAATTTTTGTGACCCCAATATTTTTTAGAAACCTATTTTCCAAAAAACATATCAAATGTTCATCCTATTTTGCACACCTCTGACCTTTCTTTATTTGAAAAATATCTTGATTTTATGTGTTTTTAAATAAAGCTACCTCTAGCCATGTTTATTGGTTAGACTCTTGTAAATTACGAAAGAGTTAAACATCAAAACGTTTGGCTTAATTATAGATTAAAGTTATAAATGGCCACTCATATGTTGATTGGAATCATAAATTCACATTATTTGTATTGTGGACTATTATAAAATTATATAATTATACACTGGAATTACCTTTGGAAACGCATGCTATTACTAAGAACTATAAACGTTCACGAACATTTGATCCATGGATTTCATACCATATTTCCAGACACCAATGAGTGTACTACTAGGAAGCATAATTGCCATCTACAAGCTGCATGTCTAAATAATGCAGGCTCGTTTACATGCAAATGTAAACCTGGATATACTGGCGATGGTGCAAATTGTAATGGTATGTCATTTAGTTTTAATCGTGCCCTTCATTTTAGTTTTGCAAACGTTTGTATTATGTTTTATGCATGTTTGTCATTTTACTTCCAAAGCTTACTTAAATGTTGAGGAGTTTTGAATTGTTTTGTCTTAAATTCCAATGACCAATTTCGACTGAAATTCTAAATGCATACTATTTTCTGCCTAAAACCTCTATGCTTCTATATCAGATGTGGATGAATGCATGATACCTGGCACTTGCTCAAGCACCCATGATTGCAAAAACAGCCTTGGGTCATATAGCTGTAGCTGTAAGACAGGCTACACTTTGTCGGAAAACACTTGCATAGGTATATAAATAATTCCATGTGAGTTCTATGGTATGTTAAAGGTAAAACATTGTGTACCAGTCGACTTTAAAATACTCAGGATTAGCTCTATGTAATGTTGAAGAACATTTCGAGCAAATATGACATCATACATCTAGCGTTTTCTTATTCCTTTGGTTCTGCAAACACTCTACTTTATATTTTTATTTATTTAGTGTTTACCGTGGTTATTATAATCAAGTCTGTTAGTCATGTCGCTTACCTAACATCTGGCATGCACTTTTGAATTAACTTACCATATTATTACATCAGATGCCGATGAATGTAAATCACGGGGTGCCTGCTTAAATAACCAGGTTTGCAAAAATATCCCTGGTTCATATATCTGTAACTGCAAGGCAGGCTACGCAAATTCTGGAAACACGTGCAAAGGTAAAAACGTGCAAAGTGAATTATACAGATTAAGTCATAAATTATACTTTCTTGAAATACAATCTAATTTTTTTTCAATTTGGTCACGAATTCTTCAACAGTCATTCAAAGAACAAAGACCTACAAATATTTACAAAAAAAACTTAGTAGTATTATATTATTATCATCCAGATTTGAATGAATGTTTGAGATCCACATCTTGTCACAGATATGCCACGTGCATAAATACTCCAGGGTCATACACATGCAAATGTAAGAGTGGATATACTGGAACTGGAAAATACTGCACAGGTAATTAGTTCAATGAAAATGTTTGACTTGGTATTGTTCAATATAATTTCTGTCTATGATGTTGCCTAACAACCATCTAGCAACGGTACAAACATCGAAAAAGTGAAATTGAAAAATTTGAAAAAGGGAGAATAGAAAAATGTTATCTAAAGTTTTGAAAATGATACCATATTTTTTTTATTATAACAGTTCGTATAGACATTCAGATATTCATGGTGTAGTTTCGATAAAAAAACGTTTTTCTCTAAAATTCTCGAAGAGATCATTTTTTGAGAGTTCTTGACCATTGACTGTCTTTTAACCGTTTATGAATTCATAAGTCAAACATGTCTTATATATTCGGCTCAAGTAAAAAGTACTCTTGGAAAAATCGAGAAGGGTGTCAGATTGACCCCCTTCCCCAGCATACTTTAGGATTAACCCTCAAACAAGTTTTCGAAATAGATCAATAAATGACAGACCGAGAGTGTATACAGTGTTGACAGCGCACTAGCTCCTTACTACTGTTTGGTTGATAGAAAAAAATAATGTGACATATAATAAATACCATTTCTGCAAAGAAATGTCATCAGATATCATTTGAAATTAGTTGAATTTAGTTCGATTATTTAGCGCTGGCATATACTTTATTCTCGTTGCTAGGTAGTTGCTAGGAAAAATAATATGACATGTAATGAATATAGCAACTTTTCTGCAAAGAAAATCATTTGACTTCAGTTGCAAGTAACTTATACGAAACAACCTTGCCATAAAATACTCATCATATTGTAGATATGATGGTTTTGCAGGTCTTGTGTTCTTATTATTTCCGTTGCCATGCAAAAATGTGACCAATAATATTACACAGTACCATCTCTGCAAAAAGGTCAGTTTTAAATAAATCATGGAAGAAGATATTTGCCAAAATTGCACATCTAATAAGAAGGAATATTGTTGCTTGGCTCTAACTTGCTAACCCCGGGGCTTCAAATTTGTATAACCTGTTCTAAAACGTTTATTTAGTACTTCAAACATACCATCAACAATAATATAATCCAAATCCTGAAGAATATGTATCATATCTTATGCCCCTTCTATATTTGAACATTTAACTATAAATATCCATTAAAGGATGGGTATCGATATGGCGAACTTTTTGAACACACGTTTCTCTTAAACTCTCATCTATATTGTTTTAGAAAACACATGAAACACTTGTTTTGTTCTTGGTATCATGTGTCCAGAGTGAAATGAAACATCTTTCCGAACCTCATTGGAACAAAACAACATAAACACAGCATGTTTAGGTCTCTCAATATTGTAATTGTACAAAGGAAATTTTGGTTGATTTTAAAAAAGTATCTTGTTAATGAAATAAAAGGTTTATCTTTATTTTTATCTATTTTGGAGGGGTTTTGTTTTAGCTTTTTGACTATAATATTGAGAGGTCTAAAAACATGTTGTATATGCTATTTTGTTCCAACAAGGTTCAGAAAGACATTTTATTTCATTCTCAAGAGTTGGTAGAAAGGAGCAAAAACAATTGCACTAGAAAAACAAAAAAATCTAACAAAAACAGATATATAAAATATTTCTAAATAATTTTCGCATTAAATTGTTGCCAATCAGTCAACATTACATAAAATACTGTGTTTTTTACAGAATGTTTTCAATGATTGGTTTAAGAGAAAAAACATTGTTGAATTCAGTTCTCCATATAGATACCACTCCTTTACCTTTTATTGACGTTACAATGGCAACAACATAACTAAGCCCCACCACCCCTATCGGGCCAAGTTACAGCCTTTGAGTATGCCAACAATGTGTCATAGGTGGCTAAACTCACCGTGATCGGCAAATTTATGAATCCTTTTCCAAGACCTGCTTACAGTCGATAGTACCCCAGACGGGTTGACTGATGCAGTCATCCTTTTACTCTATATTTGCAATGGAACAACAATTCTTATTGAAATTGTCAAGATTTATTCTAGAGACAATTTCCAACATGGAAAATAAATATTTTATCAAAATTTCAAATTATATAATTTTGACAGACTTTTTTCAAAAACACTTCATTGTCAATATAATACAGGTTTTTGCTTGAATAATTGGACTTTTAACGTCATTTCAAATATTGTCTGGCTATTGAATTTCCAGCCGCCTAAAGTCTTCCCAGATATATTTGTTGCCATATGAACAATTATGGCTGATCATTGGCCAATAAAAAACGTGTTGCTTAGTGTCTCGTTTTGTGAAGCGTTCCCTAGATTAATCCCAGAGAGAGGAGGTCAATTTCTTGTCAACTGACACAAGTTCAACCCAATCGAAATGTCCAATACTGTCCAAAATGAAGTAAAACATTACGAATTTCCAACTTCAAGTATTCCCGGCATTAGATCATTCTGATATGTTAAGAAGCTGTTTCAAATTCTATCATGAAATTGCCAGGGAAACCTGAATATCTAAGCACAAGTGTCAAAGAGAAAGGACCAAAAGTTGTAATGGAACTTAGAAAGAAAAAGCAAATTCTCAGTGCATTCCAGTCAAGAAAAAACAAACCCCATCTATCCCAAAACCATGATCTAACATGAAAAGAAACATATCTAATACCCCCTTTCCCCACCATTCAAGAACCGATATCACAATCCAAGACCAGAACACCAAGGGACATTTCAAAGCATGGTACAATTTTTCTCAAGTGGAGAAAAGGGTACGTTATCAAAGGAAACAATACAAAGAATGACAATTTTTCATTGGCCTAGCTAATGCACTGTAATAATATTTTTGACGATGACAAAAAAGAATAACAATAATCAGCCATAATTGACATGGCGTCAAATGCATCTAGAGGACTTTAGGTGGCCAACAATTCTAAAGCTAGACAATCTCTGAAATGACAGTTGAATGTTTTCGAAAAAAGCCTATCAAAATCATAAAATTAGGAATTGTGTTAAAATATTTTTTCCATGTTGGAAATTGTCTCCAGAGTAAAACATGAACAGTTCAATAAGAATGGTTGTTCTATTGCAAATATAGAGTAAAACACGACTGCATCATTTAACCTGTACGGGGTACTATATAATGATACACTGGAATTATCTTTGGAAACGCATGCTATTACTGAGAATTATAAACATTCAAGAACATTTAATCCATGGATATCATTACATGTTTCAAGACATCAATGAGTGTACTTCTAGGAAGCATGATTTCCATCTTCAAGCTGCATGTCTAAATAATGCAGGCTCGTTTACATGCAAATGTAAACCTGGATATACTGGCGATGGTGTAACTTGTAATGATATGTCATTAAGTTTTCATCGGGTCCCTTCACTTTAGTTTTACAAACGTTTGTATTATTATTTTGTATTTTGACTTCCAAAGCTTACTTAAACTTTGAGGTGTTTTGAATTGTTTTGGCTTAAATTTCAAAGAAAAAATTCGACTCAAGTTCCAAATGCGTATTATTTTATGCCATAACCCCTTTGCTATTATATCAGATGTGGATGAATGCATGATACCTGGCACTTGCTCAAACACCCAGGATTGCAAAAACAGCCTTGGGTCATATATATGTAGCTGTAAGACAGGCTACACTTTGTCGAGAGATACTTGCATAGGTAAAAAAATAATTCCATGTGAGTTTTAGGGTATGTAAAAGGTACAGATTGCTAGTCGTCTTCAAAATACTCAGGACTAGATGTATGTAATGTTGAACAACATGTTAGGTTTTGTTTGTGTTTTTCGAGCAAATATGACATCATACATCCAGCGTTCTCTAAAACTATGTAAACACTCTATATTTTTATTTGTTTAATCTTTTACCGTGGTTGTAATAATGAAGTCTGTTTATCATTTCGCTACCTAACCGTTGACATGCACTTTTAAATTAACTAACCATGTTATTACATCAGATGCAGATGAATGTATATCTCGGGGTGCCTGCTTAAACAACCAGGTTTGCAAAAACATACCTGGTTCATATATCTGTAACTGCAAGGCAGGCTACGCAAAATCTGGAAACACGTGCAAAGGTAAAAACGTGCAAAGTGAACTATAAAGATTATGTCATCATATGCATTTTTCTTGAAATACAATCTGTTTTTTTTAAATTTGATCACGAATTCTTCAACAGTCATTCAAAGATAGAACAAAAACCTACAACTATTTTCAAAAAAAACTTAGTAGTATTATATTATTATCATCCAGATTTGAATGAATGTTTGAGATCTACATCTTGTCACAGATATGCCACGTGCATAAATACTCCAGGGTCATACACATGCAAATGTAAGAGTGGATATACTGGAACTGGAAAATACTGCACAGGTAACTAGTTCAATGAAATTTTAATTTATTATTCATAATGGTAAATAGCTATTAAATCGTGTAGTAGTTGACTTTGCTTAACGGTTCCTAAAGTCTGCAACCTTTGTATGACAAGAAGTCACAATGAATGGGGGGGGGGGGCTTAATTGGACCTATTGTGATTGAAAATTACTTTCCTGATGTTAATCATGTCGATATGTTATAAACATTGTGTTCAATAAACCCTATATCTGCAACTGTCTTTATAACACTAAGTACATATGCGATTCAATTAATGTGGGTATTGTTTTAAACCTTATTCAAATACCCTTTCAGAAAAGTTTGTTTCAAAGAAGGTCAGCAAAATAAAGGACACTATATTATCTTTCAAATTTAACTAATATCATGGTAAAGTCGTTGTATAACTGAAGTTATACATTTTTCAAATGATCGCGAAATCCAAACTTGTATTTGTCTTTTGCATTCAAAATTCAAGATGTACAACAAATGACAATCAGTGATCTAGTTTGCAGATGCGTATGTTTGACTTGGTATTGTTCAATATAATTTCTGTCTGTGATGTTGCCAGGCAACCACCTAGCAACGGTACAAACATCGAAAAAGTGAAATTGAAAAAAATGAGAAAAGGGAGAATAGAAAAATGTTATCTAAAATTTTGAAAACTATATGATAATTTTATTATAACAGTTTGTTAGAATATATAAGCACAAATGCCAAAAGGAAGGGTGACTAAAAACTTTAAAGAAACCCAACAAGAAAAGCAAACTGTAAGTGTAAATCTGTCAAAAGAAAAGTAGACCCTATTATCCCAAACCATGATCTAACGTGAAAAGAAACAATAGGGAGGTTAAGATTAGCGTAAAAATATACGTGTACCTATCCCTATTCGTATGTTTGTTACGGATGCGTATAGGTAATGCGTATTGCAAAATGAGTTTAAGATTAACGTAAAAAGCTACGAAACCGTATGCTACAATTTATGATAAAAATGACATCCTAAGTATAGAATGAAAACCATGCGATGACTTATATGGTACATACCAGTACATGTCACCTCCAAGAATGTTATATACTCCAGAGAGAGTGTGGTGTAGCTGCTGTATTGGGAGGGGGTGTTACTTGTGGGCCCGCTAATGGGGCAGTGACTTAAGTCGAAATGTTAAATTTCTAGCATGATCCAGCAATGAGAGTGACCAAATAGTAAAGTTAAACAATTCAAACCACGAGAAAATGGCTGATTTCATACCTTTACAATAAGCAAAACTTATGAAGAATGTGTAAATTCAACAATTTCATGCATCATCATATGGCATCGTTTATCGCATCGATGAATGTGTTCGACCACTTAATTTCTATGCAGATCGAATGAGAAATGTTTGTTGTTACTATTTAATAGTTTAATGGATGATATTTGATCTAGAAATGACATAATTTGTTGGATAAAAATATACGTTTTCGAATTATCTCCGGCCTTTTATAGGTAATTACGTATCGTAAACCCTGTAACTTAGGTAAAATACCGCTTAGTATAATAACAAACTACGTATAGGTATAGGTAAATGGGTTATTTACGCCAATCTTAAACTCCCTACTGTCTAACATCCCCCTCCCCCCTCCAATCGAGAACCAATATCACAATCCAGGACCAGAACACCTAGGGACATTTCATTCATACTGAAGTCATTACAATACAAGTTGAAAAAAAATTGAAAAAATTGATAGCCAATACTTATAACATCAAACATAGTTGTAGATACTAGTACTCATAAAAGATTATTCAGTCTCAAATGAAGTGGGATAGATAAAATCCAGTCTCGAAGTCCATAGGCAATTCAAAGGGTCAACATCCGTTCGCAGAGCCGTCATCATAATCCATAAAACACAACAATTCACAATGGTCATCAGGAGAAAACTATGGCTGGTTTCGATCCCTATTTCTCAACCATTAATGCCATAGCCGGGATCCACCTCAAAAGGTGCCAAGTGAAAAAATTGTGAATTCATTGCCAATGTAATTATACCATCCTTCAGCATCTCAAGTGGTAAAACTTTAAATTTCAAAATTGAATAAATCGATAGACATTCAGATATCCATGGTGCAGTTTTGAAAAAAACGTTTTTCTCTGAAATTCTCGAAGAGAACATTATTTGTGAACACTCGGCGATAAACTGTTTTTTTACCTTTATGAATTCACAATTATCACTTTACCCATCTACCCCAGTCACATTGTTTTACGCCAAACATGTCTTATATCTTTGGCTCAAGTTAAAAAGTACTGTTGAAAAAATTGAAAAGGGTTCAAGATGTATAACAAATGCCAATCAGTGTTTTTACCTTCATGAATTCATAAGATAGTCAACAGTCTTGACAATTTGACATCACGTTCAAACTATCATAACTTTACCCATCTACCCCGAATCACATTGGTTTTTACTTCAAACATGTCTTAAATCGTCGACTCAAGTCAAAAACGTACTCATGAAAAAAATTGAGTAGGGGGTCGGATTGATCCCCCCTGCAGACATTAGGGTTAACCCTTAAACAAAGTACAGGGTTTTCTAAATACAGTGTATACAGTAATGACATTTCGTGATAATTTATTTTTTGAAGGAATATTTTTGGTGAATTTCTTAAATGAATAGACATCAATGATTCGGATACAAACTCGAGCTAAAGGCTTTTCTATAAGTGAATGTAAATTGTACGCTTCCAAAAATAACAGGAACTTTCAATGTAAATTGAAGAAGTATTTGAATTCAACCGAACACATATTTGAATATTAATTTTGTTAGACAACAGACACATGCTTAACTTTGTAGATTTCAAACACTTTCGGTCCATTGCTTTGCCTAGAAACCACAAAGCAACGACATATAAATTGGATCATCCAACGTTGGGAAGGGGAGATAAAAAATAAATATATTAGTAATTGGAGAAGAGATTTGCACAATTTGCAAAAAGAATCAAGAGTTTGCAGAAATTATTGCTATTCATCCTTAGGAAAAAGCGATCGACGAGTACTTGCCAACTAACTGTATTTTACCTTAAAAATCATAAAATAGTGAATTATATAGCTTTGATTCGCATGACTTAAAGAGGAATGTAAAATACATTCAATATAATAAATGACTATAATCAAACACAGCAGTTACCATATAACTTTATATTGTTTGACGTATTATAAACAATAGATATTATCCTACACTTAGTGTACTAAATGTATAATAACATCAAAAAATAAATTTGATATTTATTGGCAATTGAAAAACCGGATGATATCGTGATGATATACTCCGGGCGGAGGATATCGTGACGATATACTCCGGAAAACGCAATATTCGGAGGACATTGTGACGATATACTCCGCTTGTTGATTTCCCGCCAAATTGACTCTATTTGGCATGAAAGTCATTTTGCAATGATATTTATTATACATTTAGTACACTCCTTGTAAGTGTAGGATAATAAGAACATCCTATGATTTTTTTCAGAATATCATTTTAATCTACTCGGTGATATTGATATATGCCCTCGTTCGCTTTGCTCTCTAGTGCAGATATCAATATCACCTCGTAGATAAAAATGATATTCCTCAAAAGCATAGGATATCCTATAATTATCTTAATTGGCATCAACTTCCGAATAACTCGACCATGCCAATCTAACCTATTTTCTCACCAAAGTTAAAATATAATGGCTGCATAAAAACGTGCCAAAATAGGGGTCAATTTCATGCCCCCCCCCACCATTCACACATTCGGTTTCAAAACATCAATAGCATAACGCAATATAAAAATAGATATAGCCTATATTTTCAGATATCAATGAATGCAGAACATCTAGTACTTGTCATATTGACCAAACCTGTAGCAATACTATTGGCTCATATAGCTGTAAATGCAAGCCTGGATACATAAAATCTGGGAATACTTGCAAAGGTAGATTTGATTTTGATTGTCAACCTCAACATTTTTAACAGATATCAAAAGTTCTTACTTGATCATATGTGTAAATGCAATTTTCCTATTATCGTTTTTTTTTATATGACCACAAAATCGCCAATAACATAAATATCTAAATTACTTCAAGTTGTTTGCCAACCTTATTTCTAGATTTAGACGAGTGTGCTACTAAAAAACGAAGATGCCACAAAGATGCTTCTTGTGTGAATACACCGGGTTCATCATTTTGTAATTGCAATACTTGTTTTACTGGAAGTGGCATTTACTGTTCAGGCTAGTCTTCACGTACACCACCAGGCCCTTCTTGCTTTTCATATTTATACAGAATCATTCAAATCATGAATTGATTTTTAGTTGTTAGGCATTATGTTTGAGCTTCATTTTCATAAAAATTATATTTTCAATCTTAAATGATGTTATATTTGATAATACAGCAGAAATGGTCAATCATATACATCAGTCATCATTTTCCCTGCATTATCATATGACATTTCTTAAGATTATGTTTGTGTTTTCTCATAGAATTGTATATGATGATTTTGCATAAGAATTTATCTCATTTTGACTGGCACACTTTATACAACCCCAAATAAAACTAGCCTGGATTTTTACAAATAATATGATACGTTGGTTGCTTATTCCCACAATCATATTCCACGTAAGATAATACAATAGAGCCCTCGAGTAAATCTTACCAGCTCCTTGACCTCCTCAAACTCACATTCGGACAACGCAATGGCTATGCATATAATCATATCACTTTGAACACTTTTATGTTTCTACATCACAGATGTTGATGAGTGTCAACTGAAAAAAGATCGATGTCACTCGAATGCTTTATGTATTAACACAAAAGGATCACACAGATGTGAGTGCAATACTGGCTATAGCGGCGATGGTATAACTTGTAGAAAATTATCAAGGAGTACACATTCTGGAAATGGAAATACAAGTATGAACCGGTTATTATTTAACATCGGAATTAAACACGAAAAACAGTCCAAAAGAGATTTATCACAGTAACAATTGTATCTTATCAAAATCATCTCTGCTTGAAAATATATTAACTCTTAATTAGTGTATGGTGCAGGGTGACCAAAAAGAGGAATTGTGTCTAAAATTGTGATTAGTTCTTAAATACCTACCTTATCGACTTTTCAAGTGCATAAACTAGAATGTATGGATGTTGATATGAAATAAAGGTTGTTACATAAAAGTATTTGTTTGTGATATTATGGATGATCTTAAAATGTGTCCAATTTTTGGAACATTAAATCGGAACAAAATAATATTTTGAGATGTTTTTTAGAAATTAAAGTTTCGTTCAATATTTTACTTGAACATGCTGAATAGTCAATTCTCAAAAAATCAACAAGACAGCAGAATGATCAGGAATGGGAATTGCATGACATGTGCTCTTAAAGTCAATTATTTGATAATGAGTTGAAATAGGAAGAAAGGAGAACTGTTAACAATTGAATGGGGAAAACGATCAGCGTACCTATGTGGGGAGTTTCTTAGAATAGGGGTATGAGGACATCTAGAAGCATTGTGTGTGATTGCATAGAAGGTGGCTCCCAAATCCCAGTCTTTGTAATAACAAAATACAGCTTAACAATAAGCCAAAATAATGTGTGATGTATTTAAACAATCTCTTTGGTTGACACAAAAATCCAACATTTTATTTCCTTCAAAAATTGGCAAATCTTTTCAAGGCTAAAAACAAGACGAATATTGAATTTTATGTAACGAATTTTGTCTCACACTGTTATCCATAGATTGTAGTTTTTGTACGTGAAAAAATGAAGCTTATTACAAAAATGAAGCTGACTAAAATTTGTCTTTTTGATGTTCTGTTTTTTGGGTCACCCTGTAGTAGGGATTGTAATGCAATCCTATTACACCGATTAATCGGCATATATTATCCTGCACTCTTCTGCTATCAATTTTGTTGACTATCATATTTTAGAGATTAAAGTTAATGAGTGTGAAGACGTGGGTTCTCATAAATGTGACAGAAATGCTGTGTGTACTGATACAGATAATTCTTATACATGTACTTGCAAAGCTGGATATTCTGGAGATGGATTCACATGTAGTGGTTAGTAGTCACTACAGTTCACATAGAATGGCAAAGATAAATTACTCAAGTCATAAATATGCTCATCAATTGAGTAACAGAAAAAATTGAGAAAAAACGAAACACCGTATGATTTACCCCGTGCTAGGACTAGTTCATAGTTCTGAGAAATATTCTTATTCAATTCAACATGGGATAACAATCATGTTAAAAACAACTACCTCAATATTTTTCTGAGTATTTTAGGATTCGATGTTGTAGTTAACTTAATAACTGTATATGTTTATCGGCTGAACGAGGACATTTTTATTCTTCGTCGAAATAGTTTACACCTGTTTTTAAGATCTTTTTTTTATAATTTATGTTTTATCTTTTTTATTTCTCTTTTCAAACATGACAAGTACAATAGTTAAAACTGTTCAGTTATTTTTCACACCACCTCCATTCATTTAGACATTTGCAACAGTCATACTTTAAAGTTCTGGAACATATAAAAACATATTTTTTTTAAATTGCGTCACATCCAAATTGTTATTCACCTCGTTAAACTCTTTAGTATACATATCATATTTAATGGCAAGGGTAAGTCTATTTGGAAAAATATTTTACTTATTAGCTTGCCTTCCAAAAACCATGTCATGCGCATTGAAATCAAAATCAACTCTAAATAAACGCTTTAAATTCACCTGGATTACTTTCAGAAATATTTGAATCCTTTTGAACTCCCAGAATCTCGAAGGGCACAATAGTTACATTTAGAGTCATTTTTAATATCTATCTGCGCTAAGAAGGCATTTGTTGTGCAGATACCGTGAAGTATTTTGAATTGAAGTTATCGCGTTTTATTCTGCTTCGTACACATATAAGGTAATTTTAAATAATCGCTTCTCTTTAATTCCCGATAATGATGGTCTTTATATAGCGGTTCCAAGAATTTTTTCCATTTAATATTTTTGGAATTGATTTTACCGCCATACTAGTGCTTGTCACCGGCTTGTCAACAAGTTCCAAATCCGAGATTTATTCCTGTATGCTGGGTTTAAAGGTCGAATATAAATCCGATTTCAATAAATGTTTCCAATCATTCGGTATAGCCGATATGATTGAAAAATACTCAAGAAAGTTGATATTAATATTATACTTTGTCTTAAACTCATTGAACTTTAAAAAAATTCCATTTTCATTAAGAAGGTAATTAAAATAAATTACTTCCTTTCCCATGACATGTTTGTGCATCACCTCCTTATCATTAATTAGAATTGATTTGTTATTCCATATTACTTCACCTTTAACCTCTGAACTGGTTCTAGGCGATGGAATATTTCTTAATTCAGAATAATTTTGGAGCAAATTCAAATAAAAGGCCTTGATCTTGTATGTCAGTGTTTTAATATCATAATTACATTGCAGCAAAAAACTAAGTCCTCCAAAACGCTTGAAATAAACTTAAGGAATAAGCTTCCGGTGACTAGTTCGGGTATCAAGTAAACGTTTTAACCTCAAAAGTAAGATATCGTTTTGACCACAGTATAAGAACCTTTTCAAGCATATTTAACTTTCTTTCAAAAGTATCTTTGTTATTTGCATTCGTGTCATATGATATTTTTATCCCTAAAAGTCTACTTGGTATCTTTACCCATTTCAGACCAAAAAGGTTAAATTCATCATTATGACGATCATTTCCAATATACATACACCCTGTTTTTCTCTATTAATACATAAATCTTATATTAGTCTGAAATCTTCAAAGATGTCCAATGCTGTTTATGTCCCCACCACATAGTGTTGGGCCATATTGTCGGCCTAGGCGCGTCCGTCTGTCTGTCCTCCCGTCCGTCCGTCTGTCCTCCCGTCCGTCCGTCTGTCCGTCCGTATCTCCAAAACCGCTGCAGATATTACCTTCAAATTTTCAGGGATAACTTATGAGTGCATACAGATGTGGATGAAAAAAATTTTAACTCGAAAGCTACTTCCATTTTGGCCATTTTGAAGTCAAATGCTAAAATCCCTGTCTGCAAACTTTAAGAAAAACGGCTTCACAGTTGCTTTTAAAACTTTAACATCTTGTTCAGCTCACTTCATTCTAGAGCTGAGTAGGTTTTGGACCTGTTAGCTCAGTCATGGCAGCCATGTTGAATGTCTTAAGAAAAGTAAGCGCGCGATAATAATACTTTGTATCATATTGAATGGTGTTTTTGAGTTTACATACTTGAACTATTTAGTAGCTTTATAAATAATTTCAAATGTACTTTCTTGTAAAAGCCTATAGTATTGTCAACAGTAGTTATATGTGATAATTTTGTAATTAGAAATCAGCAAAAACTTATAATCACTTTTTTATTGTTGGCCATTTCGGATTTTTCCGTCCTAAAATCTTGTCTGTGAAGTCTTGTCTGCAAATTTTTAAGGTGAACCGTTTGGTGGATCAATTTCAAATTTTCAGGCATGATCGTTAGTATGAAAATCTAGAACTGATTAGTTTTTTGGCATTCTGGGTAAATGTCAAGGCAGCTATTTTGGATTTTCTGTCCTAACATCTTGTCTACGCATTTCAAGGTGAACTGTTCTGTAGATCAATTTCAAATTTTCAGGGATGATTCTTAGTATGAAAATCTAAATCTGATTAGTTTTTTTGGCATTCTGGATAAATGTCAAGGCAGCCATTTGTTGGCCATTTCGGATTTTTCCGTCCTAAAATCTTGTCTGTGAAGTCTTGTCTGCGAATTTTTCAGGTGAACCGTTTGGTGGATCAATTTCAAATTTTCAGGCATGATCCTTAGTATGAAAATCTAGAACTGATTAGTTTTTTTGGCATTCTGGGTAAATGTCAAGGCAGCTATTTTGGATTTTCTGTCCTAAAATCTTGTCTACGCATTTCCAGGTGAACCGTTCTGTAGATCAATTTCAAATTTTCAGGGATGATTCTTAGTATGAAAATCTAAATCTGATTAGTTTTTTGGCATTCTGGATAAATGTCAAGGCAGCCATTTTGGATTTTCCGTCTTAAAATCTTGCCTGTAAAGTCTTGTCTACACATTTATATGGGGAACCGTTTGGTAGATTAATTTCAAATTTTCAGGGATGATTCTTAGTATGAAAATCTAGAAACAAATTAGTTTTTTGACATTTTGGGTACATCTGATAAGTTCTGTTGCATTCTGCGTAAATGTCAAAGCAGCCATGATCCTTAGTATGAAAATCTAGAACTGATTAGTTTTTTGGCATTCTGGGTAAATGTCAAGGCAGCTATTTTGGATTTTCTGTCCTAAAATCTTGTCTACGCATTTCCAGGTGAACCGTTCTGTAGATCAATTTCAAATTTTCAGGGATGACTCTTAGTATGAAAATCTAAATCTGATTAGTTTTTTTGGCATTCTGGATAAATATCAAGGTAGCCATTTAGGATTTTCTGTCCTAGAATCTTGTCTGTAAAGTCTTGTCTACGCGTTTTCAGGTGAACTGTTCGGTATATCAATTTCATATTTTCAGGGATGATTCTTGGTATGAAAATCTAGAAACAGATTAGTGTTTTGACATTTTGGGTAAATGTCAAGGCAGCCATTTTGGATTTTCCATCCTTAAATCTTGTCTGTAAAGTCTTGTTTACATGTTTTCTGGATTTTCCGTCCTCAAATTGTGTTGGTAAAGTCTTGTCTACTCATTTTTAGGATAACCATTTGACGGGATCACCCATTGGTGGGGACGTTTTGTACACATTTGTGTTCTTGTTGTAATGATGTTACGTCCTTAAGAGTCAACGGGGTATCATCTGCAAAAAGAATTGCTAGTTTTTGACTTGCCTATCCAATGTCAACTCTTTGTATACCATTATCTTGTCTGATTTTTAAGGCAAGCATATCTACAGGGTGGTCCAAAAAATTGGAACATTTGTTAATTGAACACAAAACTTTTATTCTTCATCTAAAATGCACCAAAATTTCACTGAGCATAGTTCACTTATCTCTCTGATATAAAGTTTATAGGTGCAAACCACAAAGTTAATGCATTAAACTTTGATATGACCCCTTTTTCTTAAATATACACTTGTCAATTTCGCAGCTACTTTTTCAAGTATTTTTTATTTTAAAGCTTTAATGAACATGTTGATTGTTATACACATTTTATAAAATCATATTTAGTTGACATGAGATATTAACATCTATGGTTTACTGGAAAACTATTGCGTTATTGTCAACTTCAGAATACCCCAAAACCATTATTTTTATTTAAGAGTAGGAAAGAAAGAACATGTCAAGGGTGAGTGATTGCATAACCCACACAGCTACTAAACTGACTAAATCATTGTTTCTACTTTTTAGTAGAGGGGAAACTGACCAGTTGTTTACAAGGCTTTATTAAAAGCCGAACACCTCTAAGCACACATAATATATCATTTGTGTTCTGGGAAACTTCTTTTTGATATTGATATACATATATTGATATATTCAATGAATATTATTCATATTAGAACAAGAAAGGGGAGGGGGTTCATTTACCAGTCAAAACAGACTGCCCCGGCCTCTTTCTGGAGAATATTCAATCAGTAATATATCCAACAATAGCCATCAAAATATGCTTGATACCCATCAATTTGGGTAAAATAATGTTGAATATGTTCATATATTTGATCTTCCAAGGCAAACATATAAGTAGTTTGTTCAAGCTGAATTTTTAATCAAGATGGCTTGGACAAAATCAAACGAACAGCAAAGTGAATGATTCTTTTTAAAACTGAGTCCCAGGCTTCAACTTGTAATTCAGGAGAATGGGGGTCATATCAAACATTCTCTAGTTTAATGCATTAACTTTGTTGTTTGCACCTATAAACTTTACATCAGATAAATAAGTGATTGAACAATACTGAGTGAAATTTTGGTGCATTTTAATGAAAAAATAACGATTTTGAGTTCAATTATCAAATGTTCCATTTTTTGACCACCCTGTTTAACAAGTAAACGATCTGACATAGTCCTTCATTTCTTTAAAATTTCATCGTTCTGCCGATAAACCAGTACAATTGGGAATTCAACAATAAAAAGTTATCCTAGGATACAAAGCAATTTATTGAAGGGGTGTTGGAGTTGGTATTCTGGAGAAAAAAAGTATACGTTATAATTTAACTGACCCGCCTACCCTAACTACAGGTTACAATGGTAACCTTATCTCAAAATTAATTTAAGACAAAGCTAAAGTAATTTAGCAGTGTATGTGCAATTACACAACCTATATGTTCTGGATAAATGTGAGGCACATGTGGAAAGATCACAAAATGAGAGCATTTTCATCAGAATATATGTATCGCCCCTTTGTATATGTTATTTTTCCAACGATGTTTTTGATCGATGTTTCATTTTATTCAGAATATATGGTACCGATAACAAAGATAGTATAATGAAATATATAAAAAAAAGTCGTTTTACAGATTAAATTGTTACCATTTAAAGCATGACCATTATACGAGTGGTGATCCAAAAGTCTTGGACGCCCCGCTCTAACTTTGCTATTTTCTAATATAAATGCATGAAACTTTCAGATAATAAAGATCAACATCTAAACAACTTTGTCTATACGTTTCAAAATAGAATAGTATATTTTAGGTACTTTTCTAAATATTTTTTGCTACCAGGTCCCTGCCACCCGGAACGGTATTTAAATATAGCAAATCACGTCACAACTGTTATACTATAGCAAATACTTTAGATGCAGATGCACAACCTAACACCAGTCGTGATATGAGAGAATGTCCGATTTTCAGTCTGAGTGTCATCTGCCATCATCATCTTTACATATTAAGACCTAGTTTTCGACATATTTTCCACGAACACATTTTCATACCACTTTACCAATGAATGAAAGACACTTATGAAACCGCCATTGCTTATGTGATACAAATGCTGCTGGAGTGCCACTCTAAACCTCATCTAATGAGTAAAAAATATTTTCTTTCAACCCTCCTTTCAATTTGGAGAAAAGGAAGAAAACCACACGGAGCCATATCTAGACTGCATATTGTAGCTGCTCAAGGTCAATAATAGTGAAAATATATAGTAGTATTCTTTGTTTGATTTCTTTCATGTTCTGCATTATAGCAATCATCTTGGAGCAAAAATGATACCAGAATGAGGGCTGATTGTCTGATGTCATTTTCTTAGAACTTTACATATACGGCCATTGTCATATGTGACATTATGATTAAAACACAATTAATTGGTTGCCTAGTAACAAAGGAAGTAAACTAACATGGTTTAACATTCAAAATTTAAGGAAAGATAGTGGTCAAGACTTGCAAAACAAGTCAAATAGCGGCAACATTTAAGGCTGAAAGTTGCCATGTGCGAATACCGTTCCGGGTGACAGGGTCACTATATTAATAACTATCGAGAAAACGTCATAAAATATATCATTTCACCATGAAATGAATACACAAAGTAATTAGGTTCTTGGTCTTTATTATTGGAAAGTTTAAAGTAATTTTATCAAAAACCAACAAAATTAGAGCAGGGCGTCCAAGACTTTTGGTTCACCCCTTGTATTGACAATCTGATTTTTTGATGACCAGTCTTATAATTAATAATGTATTCAATTAAGTTCACCATATCGCTTCCAATCGTTTGAAGTAAGTCTAGTGTCTCAAACATTTATATTCAAATTAAATTTTCTAGCAAACAAAGGTACTAATGAGTGTGCAACGGGACAACATGACTGTGATCCACATGCAATATGTGAAGATACCATAACATCATATGAATGTAAATGCAAGCCAGGATTTACAGGCAATGGTAAAACATGTAAAGGTAAGAAATGTAAAAAGCTTGTCTAATTCATATTGGGACTTAATATGAAATGCAGCTTGCAAACAAATGCTGAAAATTTCACAAATAGTTCATTAAAAGCAAGTGATTCAGATTAAGTTTTCCCAAGATGAAGACCCGACTATGGTGAAAGGAAGAAATTATTGTTTACAAGACTTTTTTCAGTTTTGATGGGATCTACAAAGCTCACCTGCATACCATCATGGAATGCCACGGCCCTCTCTTCTTGCATCGTAGACTACTTTAAATACAACTAAATACAGACAGGTTTTTAGATGCGTTTTGTATCAGAATACCTTTATCCATTCAAACACTATCTTCAATTCATTTTTTGGACAATCAGCACCCTTTTACTTTGTTATACTACATGTTTATATATATAGCACTACAGTCGGTTATTCCAGTCAATCAAGCAAAGGTGAAAATATAATGTTTCGAACTGTGGTTTATCTACAGACGGTTTATTTCACAAGTTGAAAATACCCATGTGGTATAACGTTACAGTTCGGAATATAGTTGAAGTTATGATAGTGTGGATTGGTAGGCCGATGTATAGTAAGTGGTAAACACAATTAAAAATGTGTTTGCACCAAAGCTTTAAACAGAAGATAAAACTCAACCATAAAAATTATAGCAGCTATATTGTGGCAACTGTAAGCCAAAATTGAACATAAAATTCCGTTATGTCCATTCAAATTTTGTAATACCAATATATAATTTAATCAATCATGGTCTAAAATGATATTGTACAGGGTGTCCAAAAAAACAGGACCGTAAGAAAGTTGAATAACTCGGTCAATTTTGCATATTTTGCCTTGAAATTTCAGAATTATTTAGTCCATTCAATGTAAACACAATGTGTTGTGAAAGTTTGATAATAATCTACCAATTGAGTCAAAAACTACAGCTCCTTACAAAACATGCCCCAAATGTGCAAATCTCATCCCTATGCACAATTCAATCCGGCGAACAAAGCTGTTGATGATCCTCCTTCACACATGTCTTTCTGAATGGACAAGTTTGTTCCAAGAACAATTGCTCCTGGGGCTTACATCCTCCTGATGAAGTGTTACAGCATCCATTGTATTCTGAACAATGTACTCCCTGGGTGGCAATGAGGAAACATGGAATCATCAGTCCCTTTTGGTCATCACCATGAACAAGGACCAGTAAGTTCTCACCAAGTTCTGGAGGTCACTAAGCACCAGAAGGGACATCTAAGGAGATAATTAAGCAGTGGTTTCAACAAGCCAATACCACCCCAACACTGCAAATGATATGCTGAAATGGTTTAGGCAATGCTTTGGTGGTCAGCTCATCATGAATGCCTTCTAAACTAGCACTAAAACCCCTAGAACTGGCCCGGCAAGGTGGTTATAATGCAAATTATAAAGATCATATCAAAGATGCAATCAATCGAATTGACGGGCATTTGAATCAATTGTTGGATTTACACTAGAGCCCTGAGACGTCTTGGCAAAAACTCTCGGCTAACCCCCCCCCCCCTATCACACCAAACTAGTTCTTACCCGTTCTTGTCCAGTCCTACAAAAACGTCGTAAAACGGGCTCAATCCGACTGTGGTCGGGAAATGTGTCTAAAATAATGAGCTTCTTCGTTCATAGACAGTCTTCAATACGTCCATCTCATTCGCAGTTTGTTCAGGTCGCACCATGTCGGTGTGCAACGTCGTATAACGCGTCCCTTAGTCTAAAATGTCATCATGACCTGGTTACAGAACGGTATGGTCGCCATCGATTTTTGAATCGATTCAAAATATTCTAAATCACATTCCCCGTCCGGGAAAGTCCATGAAGTTCGTAAACAGACCGTAGAAAATTGAAGCTACGTTCATTCCGTTCGCTCACAGTTTAAAACCAGTCTGGAGAACGCAATGGCAACTTGCTTGGCGTGAAAGTTATATTTTTGCTAACTCGTTGATAAAAATACGTTCTTAATCAGTTTTAACCCGTTTGCAATTAGTTCTACCTCGTTCTCAATACGTCCCCAGACAGTTCAACTCGTTGTAAAAACGTCCCTATTAGGATTGAAGTACGACGGCTCCGTTCGTAGTACGTCCGGCTCGTCGTTTGTAGGTTGTCACTCATTCTAATTGTAGAACGTGACGAACAAGATAACATTTTGAGCATGTTCTAAGTTCTAGAGGATCTACCCGTTCGAGTACGTTCGATGAAGTTTGTAAATAGATCCCAACCAGTTCTAAGTACGTCCAGTCCGTTCGTACACAGTTGAAGCCCGTTTTCGAGAACGTAGTGGAAACTAGTTTGGTGTGATAGTAGGGTAAGAGAGCTTAGCTAAAACGTTTTAAGACCCTAGTCATAGCCAAGACGTATTAGCGTTAAAACGGTTTATAACCCTACTATCACACCAAACTAGTTCTCACTACGTTCTCCAAAACGGGCTTCAACTGTGTACGAACGGACTGGACGTACTTAGAACCGTTTGGGGTCTATTTACAAACTTCATCGAACGTACTCGAACGGGTAGGTCCTCTAGAATTTAGAGCATGCTCAAAATGCTCTCGTGGTCCTCACGTTCTACAATTAGAACCAGTGACAACGTACCAACGACGAGCTGGACGTACTACGAACGGAACCGTCGTACTTCAATCCTAATAGGGACGTTTTTACAACGAGTTGAACTGTCTTACGACGTATTGAGAACGAGGTAGAAATAATCGCAAACGGGTTTAAACTGATTGAGAACGTATTAAAGACTGCTTATGAACGAGTAAACAAAAATATAGCTATCACACCAAACAAGTTTCCACTGCGTTCTTCAAAACTGGTGTTAAACTGTGTGCGAACGGAATGAACGTAGCTGCAACTTTCTAAGGACTATTTACGAACTTCGTGAACGTTCTCAGACGGGAAGGTGATTTTAGAATTTTGAATCGATTCAAAATTCGATGGCGACCATGCCGTTCTGTAATCAGGTCATGATGACATTCTAGACTGAGGGACGGTTCATACTACGTTGCACACCGACGTGGTGCGACCTGAACGAACTTCGAATGAGATTGACGTATTGAAGACTGTTTATGAACGAAGTAGCTAATTATTTTAGACATATATCCCGACCGCAGCCAGATTGAGCCCGTTTTACGACAGTTTCGTAGGACTGGCAAGAACGGGTAAGAACTAGTTTGGTGTGATAGGGGGGTAAGCGAGTGTAAATCCATCGGTTTTAGTTAAGTACCCAATCACACCAAACTAGTTCTCAACCGTTCTTTCCAGTCCTACGAAAAATCCGTCTGGCTTTGGTCGTAAAATATATGTCAAAAATAATTAGCCACTTCGTTCATAAACAATTTTCAATACGTCCATCTCATTCATAGTTCGTTCAGGTCGCACCATGTCAGTATGCACACGCACTACAAATTGATATCCGATTGCACAACGTCGTTAACTCGTCCCTAGTAGGGTCTCACGTCTAACCCAATGCTTTGCATTTTTTAATCAGATTTCGAAGGTTAGTATAAGATATAATATCCAAGTTACCTGCGGAAATATATTTGTTTGGTTCATATTTAAAATCAGAATCCTCACAATTACAAACCATAACATCAAAATCAGTGTTGTCAAAATCTGTAACAGTTTTCGTATAATGAAAGATTCTCCTTGCGATCGTATATGTGTACTTGGATGGTACTTCTTGATAGTCAAAATAAGCAGGTATTTTACTTGTTACATTTTTGTCATGTTTTTGATGTTTTTGAACATGTGTCATACTCTTGCTCAACATACCCTGCTGTCATGCTACTATGTTAACAAGATACCTACCTTACCGGACAAATGTATTGCTTATTTTTAAACAACATGAAACTACTATACTGGGGTGGTTGCGGCGCAATTTGAACAATATTCATGAATTATTAAGATTTTCAGAGGAAACGGTGCAGAACTTTTTTCAACCCTCAAATATTTCTAATATACTTTACTTGTGCTCATGCAATGTTCTTGTATTAGATCTCTGCATTTTCTCATAATGACAACCCTTCGTAGTATCGCTAATTGGCCTTTAGCTTCATTGATTATTGATTATTTTGTCAACTAGAGATTAACGAACTATTTTGACTATAACTGAACTAGTTGAAATACCATCGTTGCCAAATAAAGATGGCTGTTACTTATTAAATGGAAAAACATCTAGGAGTTTTATTTTGATCAAATGTCCCTTGTGTCATGACATGAAAATACGTTTTATTGGGCTTTAAGGTAGAACTTCAGTGTCCATTGAGCAGTTAGTTCGCGCATCTGGAATTCCGTTTCGCTCGACTAGACGAGCCATGCATAAAAGGAATACGAAATGAAATAGTTGTAATTCCAGATTTTACACAGGCATGCCTTTAAATACCACATGACATATGAATGATCATGTCATATAATTTTAGCGAAGTTGTAGGAGTTTTGCTGAACTGTTTGATCTATTCATAAAAATCACCATCGCAAAGCAGCTAGAAAATCTGGTCTAGTAGATATCATATAGTTTTCGTACAAGAAAAGTAGGCGGTTCAAATTCAGACATTTGACACTACTATTTTTTTCTTAGTTTGTTTTTGGGCCACATTGTCGGCCTAGGCGTGTCCTTTTGTCTGTCTTTTCATCCACACGTCCGATAATTTTCTCAAAAACCGCTACAGGTATCACCTTCACATTTTCAGGGATACCTTATAAGTAAATGCAAATCCAGTCCACTCGATACCTACTTCCTGTCGGCCATTTTGAAGTCCAAGGCTAAAATCCCTGTCTGCAAACTTTAAGAAAAACGGCTTCACGGTTACTTTTAAAACGTTTACATCTTGTTGAACTCACTTCATTCTACGTTTGATTAGGTTTTGGACACGTTGGCCAGTCATGGTAGCCATTTGAATGTTTTAAGAAATGTCAGAGAGCGATAATAAGTTGTATCATGTTAAAATGTGTATTTGAGTTCTCATTATTCAACTATTGAGTAGCTTTAAAAATAAGTTTAGGTATCCTATATT